ATTATAAAAAAAGTTAGAAAAAAAGTAATTGAATTCCTGCAACAAATTTTATTATTTATGAAAATAATTGAATTCTTTTAACGAATTTTATAAATTTTTTTTAAATAATTGTATTCCTGGGCAAAATTTTATAATTTGTAATAAAAATAATTGAATTCTTTTTTTTTCGTTTTATAAAAATTTAAAAGAATAATTCAAATATTTCGAATAACTTAATTAAAATAGGATTAAAAATAATTGAATTTTTGCGATGAATTTTATTGTTTATGAAAATATTAATTTAACTATTATAAATAAATGTTGTCAAAAATTTAGAATATAATTAATTTTTTACAAAGAATTTTATTAAAATTTACTAAAAATAATTGAATTCTGTCGAGAAATCTTATTAAAATTGTATTAAAAATAATTGAGTTCTTGCGATTAATTTTATTATTTATGAAAATAATAATTTAATTCCTAAAAAACAAATTTTTGGAAAATAATTAATTTCTTTTTAAAGAATTTTATTAAAATATTTAATTAATTGATTTGTTTCCAAAAAAAATTCCTTAAATTTATTTCACATAATTGAATAAGTGAAAATTTTATTATTCATATTATTTGAATTTTATTAAATTTTTTATAAATAATTGAATTTTTTTGAGAAATTTTATTAAAATATACAAATTTGTATATCTAAATAAATAATAAATAAAATTATAGATATTAAAAATATTTGAATTTCATTATTTGTGAAAATAACTGAATTATCGAAAAATATTTTTGAAATAATTGAATTGTGTCAAAAAATTTTATACAACATTTTCTAATAATTGTTTCTAAGAAGAATTTTATTAAATTCAAATTTTTTCATTCTTTGGAAGAATTTAATGATTTTCATGACATTTAATTTATCAAATTTGAGACAAAAAACGAATGAAAGAGTTGCAAGGCAACTTTTTGATTCGTTTTTTGTCTCAATTTGATATCTGCAGAAAAAATATGTTATTGCAATATTGTTGCAGTTTCGCCACTTTCAATTTAGCATGTAGACAAAACAAAACCAAAAAATTTAATGAAAGTTTCCAAAACCGGTTAAAAAATTTAAAAAATTAAAAAAAAAAAAAAAAAAAAGACTTTGATAAATTTGACTTTTCATTGAAGGAAAGCCGTTTGGAGTTCGAACGTAAAATTGAGCGCAAAAATGAAAAGTAATATGGAGGTGCGAGAAACAGAAATCTGAGACTATAAAACGAAGTGTGTATGAGGAATGTGGTTGCCGGTTTCGCGATTATGTGGGTCTCTTGGAGTTAAGTCAAGTCACTTGCAATAGTAATGTTACATTCTCCAAGTTGAGAACATATACGCTGCGTCCAGCATTATGGAATCGCCGCCTGCGAGAGTAGAGCCGAGAGAGACGAAAATTTGCAGACCTCGAGTGGAGTGTGATTCATCATTGTATTGCATAGACTTACAAGACACCTATTTTGATTACATCGGATAGAGTTTTCGCGTAAACTTCCGCGTATTATATACATACGATATATATGAGAAAAGGTCACGGTTGCATTGCCAGCAGTTTATTTTAATGGAAAAAGAAAAATATCAACAACTTTCATAGATCTTTCATTGAAACTTGGCTCTTCTTCTTCTTCTTCTTCTTCTTTTTTTCTTCTTTGTGGAAAAAAAAGTATAATATACATATCTCATGTTTTCCTTGAAATAGAATTTCTTCCACACGGATGAATTTGATTATACACTGTCTTCATTTTTAAATAAAATATTTCACTCACAACTCAGCATTTCAAACGTGTTTATTTTTGTGTTTTTTTTTAATTATTTGTTTTGGATTTAGAAAAAAGTGTTTATCAGATGTTTAAATATCAGGGTTGACACAGGTCAGGGAAATCAGGGAAAAGTCAGAGAAAGTAGAATTGGTCAGGGAAATTAGGAAATAAATTTTTCGAATCTATAAGAAAATTCTGCATTTTTGTGTCTTTTTTGATTTGCTTCATAAACTTTCTATTAATTAAATTTTAAAAGAGTTGCGTTTGCAATTTTCATAAATAAACGAACTTTAATAGGTATTTCAATCTAAATTATCAATTTTTAATCACTTTAATTAGAAATTTTAATAAACTTAGATTTTTTGGAAATTTTTAATTATTCAAATTAGTTAAATTTCTAACTATTTTGAAATTAGTTAAATTTTTCAATATGTATTTAATTAATTATTAAAATTAATGGATTTATAGAAGAATTTTAATTAAAAATACTAAAAAAAAATTGAATTTTAGAAAAGTTACAAATAATTAGAGAAATTCATTAATTTTCAAAACTAATAAAATTCTTCGCAGAAATTCAATTATGTTCAAAATTTTTTTTGAATTCTTGTCAAAAATTCAATTACCTTTATAACTATCAAAATTCTTCTCTAAAATTCAATTATTTTCAGAAATTTGAATCAAATTCTCGTAAAAAATTCAATTATCTTTGTGAATAACAAAATTCTTCTCTGAAATTCAATTATTTTCAAAAGTAATAAAATTCTTCGCATAGAAATTCAATAATGCTCAACATTTTTTTTAAATTCTTGTCAAAAATTCAATTATTTTTATAACTAACAAAATTCTTCTCTAAAAATCAAGTATTTTCAAAAACTTGAATAAAATTATTCTTGGCAAAATTTCAATTATTTTCACAAATTTCCCCCCATTCTATGATTTTCAATATTTACTAATTAAAAAAAATGTTCCAAATGAACAAAAAATTTATTATTATTATTATTATTTATTTCCAAATTCAATTATATCTACTTAAAAATAATTTTGATAAAATTTTATGCCAACATATAATTATTTTTATAAATAATAGGTAATAATTAAAAAACAATTTTGATAAAATTCTACGCAAAACAGAAATTCTAATATTTGCACATTTTTTTGTCAGATATTCAATTATTTTTATAAATAATAAAATTATTCTCTGAAATTCAATTATTTTCAAAAATTTTAATAAAATTCTTGTCAAAAATTCAATTATTTTTATAAATAATAAAACTCTTCTTTAAAATTTAATTATTTTCCAAAATTTTAATAAAATTCTTAAATAATAAAATTTTTACAGAGATTCAATTATTTTCAAAAATAATAGAACTCATCGCAGAATTTCAATTATTTTTTATACAATTATTGAGGGCTCGGATCGAAGAACCGACGCTTCGCAATGTTCTGTGCGTTTACAAGCGTCGGTTCTTCAATCCGAGCCCTCAATTTTAATTGAATTCCTCGAAAAATGTAATTATTTTTATTTTTTTATTTTTGTATTTAAACAATTGAAACCCCGTAGAATTTTCAAGTAAAAATTGATTTATAAATTTATTTCTCTTAAAATTTTAAATAATAATGGAATATTAGAAGCATTATATTATGAATTTTTAGTAATAATTAAATTTTAAAAGATTTGACAATTTTTGAAAAAATTCTTGTCAAAAATTCAATTGTTTTCAGAAATTTAACTCAATTCTATGATTTTTAATATTTACTATATTTAAATAAAATTTTCCAACTGAATTCCATTATCTTCTTAAAAATAATTTTAATAAAATTCTATGCAAACATATCATTATTTTTATAAATAATAATTTATACAAATTCTACGCAAAACATTGAATTTTTTTCATAAATAATATATAAATTTCACAGAAATTCTAATATTTGCAAATTTTTTATAAATATCTTCACAATTATTTTCAATTATTTTTAAAAGTAATAAATATAATCGAAAAAATTCAATTATGTTTAAATATTTTTTTAAAAATTCTCGTCAAAATTTAAATTATTTTTGTAAATAATAAAATTCTTCTCCGAAATACAATTATTATCAAAAATTTTAATAAAATGCTTGCCAAAATTTTAATTATTTTCAAAACTTTCCTGAATTTAAGAATTTTCAATAACTGGAATTCAATTATTTACAAATTCTTTTATAAATTTATTCACAATAATTTAATTATCATAAATTCAAAATATTTATTTCATATTTTAATTTCATAAATATAATAAATCTCATTGCAGAATTTCAATTATTTTTTATACAGTTTTAATCAAATTCCTCGAAAAATGTAATTATTCTTAAAAATTTCATTAAAATTCGTCGAAAGAATTCAATTCTATAAAAATTTGTTGATAAAATTCTTTATGGTAATTGAAATTTAAGAAACATTCAATTATTCAATAAATTGTTTTTTTTGTATTTAAATAATTGAATTCTCGTAGAATTTTCTAATAAAAATTGATTTAAAAAATTAATTTCAGGTAAAATCTTAGAATATAATTCAATATTATTAAAGCAATCATAGCTTGAATTTTTAGAAATAATTGAATTTTAAAAAAGGGTTTAAATTAAAATCTTTGAAAATTTGAATTTTTAATACTTTCAACTAACAATTCTGTATAGAATTAATTTTTTTGAAAAAGTTGAATTGAATTTTTTTTGAAATTATTGGAATCTACTCTTTTTATTAGATGTTATTGAAAAATTTCGAAATAATCGAAAATTTTGGTAAAATTGAATTGCAAACAAATTGATTTGAAAATTCTCAATTAACTTTTCCAAAAATTATTAAAAATAATTGATTTAAAGAAAAATTTTAGTTATAAAAATTCTAGAAAATAATAATTGAATTGAAATGATGAAAATAATTTTGAAGAAGTTAGAGTAACAATATTTTTATATAAAATAATAATTTTATTAATCGGTCATTTTTTAATTATTATAAAACATGAAGATATCGATTGCTCCGAGTCGAAGACTCGGAGAGATCTATTCCTTTATGTTTTATAAAAATATTTTTAATATTTAATATTTTTAATAAAATATTAAATTTAATATTTTTTATTATAAATATTAAATATTTTCAAGTAAAATATTGATTAATAATATTTTCAGTTCTTAATTTTTATTTTTTTAAACAATCAATAATTATCGAGGGAAATTATTAAAAATGTTTTCTCTTTTTTGCAGGATGCATCGAAGGAGAGGCTGGTTGCAAAACGTGTCGAGGTGCTTTATGCTCGCGATGTGCCATTCTTTATCATGATGGGTCTTGCGTTGACTCGTGTCCACCGGGTCACTCTGCTGTTCCGTCCACGAGAGAGGAATACATTGGTTTCGTCTGCAAGGAAACAATAAGAAAATTTATGTTTGGTCTCTCAGGAAGTCAAATAGCGATCCTCGTTGGCGTTGCCTCCGGTGCCACAATATGCATCTTTATCATTCTCTGCGGAGTTATTGTTGTACATCGAAGAAAGAAAAAAGCAGCCAAAATGATTCAGCACTTTGAAGACAGGTGAAATTTATACACCCCCCTTTTTTTCTCTCTCGAAGATCTTACCTCGCATCTTACTTTCAATAATTCAACGTCTATTTCAAAATTATTTTTCAAATTCAATTTTCAATAATCGGTCATTTGTCTTTTATTAAAATTTATTATTTATTTTCTTTTGATCTTTAGTTAATTTTTTAAAGGTGGAAAAAGTTAACAATTTTTTTTATTTATTTACTTACAATTTACAATTTATTTATTTACTTAATTTTCCAAAGAGGAATTTGCTAACAGTGTTTTTTATTTTCAGCGCTGAGAGGAGAGAATTTTTAAAGCACCTCGCGACCCTCAGAGGTGAGGGGACTACGTTTCTCTCAATGCTCAACGACACCCGAAGACAGGTCAGAGAATTGCACTACTCAGGAAATAATGGGGATGGAGCTGTTGGTATTCAAGCTTACAGGTAAAATTCCTTTGTTAAAATAAAATAAATAAATAATAAAATAAAAAAAAAATTAATTGAATAAAATATTTTTGGATTATAATTCTATTTTTACCTTTTTTTGTCTCTTTTAGACCCGTTCTCCGTGATCTTGCCAGAATTCTAGTACTGATAAATAGAAGAGACGATGAAATACCAAGACCCCCGGATGACTGGCAAAGACTGCTCTCTTGGGCTGAACGACTTCTTCGAAGATACAAACGACACACATCTCCACAAGTGAGTCAAACCTTTTTTCTTGGAGATTAATTAAAAATAGTAGTCTTCAATTCATTTTGACCGTTAAATTTTTTTCTCTCTCAATTTTTACACGCTAGTCCCTTAAAGAACATGGTGAGTCGAAAATATTGGTGTACCTGAAATATTTTAGTGTTTCTAATTTGTTACACTTTTTTTTGTATTTTTATATATTATTTTTTGTGACGTTTTCCGGTCTCTACGCAGCAAAAAATAGGAATGCTTTTACTTCTTTAAAGATTAATTTCTAATTACCTGAAATTGAAAGCAATTTTTATTAACTATTTGGTGATATTTAGTATAAACAGACTTCGCACTCGATAATTAATTTTAACTAAGTATAAAAAAGTAGCTTTGAAACTAAAAAAATGTAGTAAAAAAAGTAACAATCGAAAAATTAAACTTGACGACCAAAAAAAAACTCGTTTTAGACACTTCACAAAATTGACAAAAATTCAATTCCATATTTTTTAATTTCCTGACTTTTTCCTAATTTTGATAAAAAAAATGTTTACTTTTTTCTTATCGTGCTAATAAATTGAATTCCTTCAATGAATTTAAATAATATTGAATTCCCGAGAAATTTTTATTATTCATGAAAAAAATTGAATTCTTACGAAGATTTTTACAAAAAAAATTTTAAATAATTAAATTCTATTTGGAAATTTTATATAAATAGTAGATATTAAAAATCATTGAATTGCGAAAAGTTTAAAAAAATAATTAAAGTTAACAAAGAATTCTATTAAAATTTTTGACAATAATTGAATGTTTGGTGTGGTATTATTTATTAAATTTTTTGAAAATAATTGAATTTCTAAAAAGAATTTTATTAATTATGAAAATAATTTAATTCTTCGGAACGATTTTATTAGAATTTTTTTAAATAATTGAATTTCCAAGAATAAATTTATTACCTACTTTTAAAAGTAATTAAATTCTTCTGATGAATATTGTTATTTATGAAAATAATTGAATTTTGCAAAGAATTTTATTAAAATGCCTCAAGATAATTGAATTTTCGAGAATTATTTTGTTATTTATCAAAATAATTGAATTCTTTAGGTAAATAATTAAATTTTGCAAAGAATTTTATTAAAATGCCTCAAAAGAAATGGATTTTCGAGAATAATTTTGTTATTTATCAAGATAATTGAATTATTTAAGTAAATAATTGAATTTTGCAAAGAATTTTATTAAAATGCCTCAAAATAATTGAATTCTCGAGAATAATTTTATTATTTATCAAGATAATTGACTTATTTGAGTAAATAATTGAATTTTGCAAAGAATTTTAAATTAAAAATCTTAAAGAATAATTGAATTATTTGAAAAAATTTAATTAAAATTATATTTAAAATAATTAATTTCTTTTAAACAATTTTATTAAAATATTTGAAAATAATTGAATTTCTGTGAAAAATTCTAATATTTTTGTAAATAATTGAATTCTTCCAAAGAATTAAAAAAAAACATTTTTTCGAATAATTGATTTTTTCAAGGAATTGAAATTAAATAATTTTTAAGAATAATTACATTTTGTGAGCAATTCCTGTAAAATTGTGTTGAAAATAATTGAAATCCTGCGATAAATTTTATTATTTATGTAAAAGAATTGAATAGTTGCTAATAATTTTATAAATATTTTCAAAAATACTTGAATTTCTTAGAAGAATTTTATTATTTATGAAAATAATTGAATTATTGCGAAAAATTTTATTAAAATGTTTAAATGGAATTGAATTTTTGTGAAAAGTTTTGTTATTTTTAAAAATAATTGAATTATTTATAAGAATTATATAAACATTGTTTTAAATAATTAATTTTTTCGAAATAAAATAAATATAAAAATTTTATTTTAAATAATTGAATTCTTATGGAAAATTTTATTTGTGAAAATAATTGAATTTTTCGAGTTATCAATTTAAAATAGTATTAAAAATAATTGAAATTTTTTTATGATTTTTATTATTTATGAAAATAATTAAATTCTTGCTGAGAATTTTATCAAAAATTTTTTTTAAAAAATTGAATTCCTGAGAAGAATTTTATTATTTATAAAAATAATTAAATTTTTGCGAAGAAATTTATTAGATTTTTTAAAAATAATTGAATTCTTGTGAAGAATTTTAATAAAAAATTTTCAAGAAAAAATGCAGTTTTTGAAGAATTAATTTTAAATTATGTTAAAAATAGCTGAAATTCAATTAATTAAATATAATTTAATTCCTGTGAAAATTTAATTATTTATATGGAAATAATAAATAAAAATAATAAGAAAATAAAATTTTGTAAAATTACAATTTCAATTGTTTCGAATAAAATTTAAGTTCGTACGGGGAATTTAATTAAAATATTGTACTTGAAAATAATTGAGTTCTTCTAAAGTTGTTTATCTCAATTTTTAAAAATATGTGAATTCTGTCAACAAATTTTGTTAACCATTTTAAAAATAATTAAATTCCATTCAGAAATTTTAATTTAATTGTATTAAAATTTTTTTTAAATAATTGAATTCTTTTGCGAAATTTGATGAAAACACTAGATATTGAAAATAATTGAATTTCGAATAATTTTTTAAAATAATTGAATCGTTTTAAAGAATTTGATTATTATTTTTGATAATTGTTTTTTGATTTCTAGAATTAGCGAATTTAAAATAGTGGAAATTCTCAACAAAAAAATCAGAAATAGTAGCTTTTAGCTGAAATCTAAAAAAGTACCCGAATAGTAGCATAACGTAAAAACAGTAGTAAATAGTAGGTTTTAGTAGATGGGTGCGAAGCCTGTATTTATGCTTTCGTCGGAAATTGTCACATTTTCATTTTTCCGTATTAAAAAAAAATATAAAGTAAAGAATAGAGTAGATAATAAAGTAACAATGGAATAGAGTAATAATTATGAATTCCTTACTTCAAAGGTTGCGCAACTGGTGACATTTCTCCAGCAGCCAGCAACATCCGTCCAAATAGGAACAAATCCACAACAAATATCGATATCGCAGACATTTCAAAATTATGAGCCAAGAGCAACACCAACGAATCTCACGACATTTCAGGCGAATGCTCCACTAACGACATTCCAAGCTAGTGATAAATCGAGCATTAGTCCAGCAAGTTCAAGTATTGGCTACACAAAAGACAGTCCAGTGGGTTCGAGTCTTGGTCAAAATAGCTCGAGCATTTACAATGAGAAACTCAGTCCGAACGGTTCCACAATTGGCCAATCAACGCCTTTGGTGTCAACAAAGGATAAACGTGTGAAACCAGTGGGATCGCATCTACAAGAACTCGCCATTTCACCATTCAATCACACTTACAGTCCCGACAGTAATTTAGCGCATAATAAACATTTAGTTGATAATAAACAATTGGGCGAACTCGATCACGAATTAAATCCACAATGGGAATTCGAGAGTACAATCGAGGCTGCAAATTTCACCATTTTATCCGAATGGGCTCCGGGTCGTGACTACCTCGACGATTTCACGATTTTAGGATTTCGACCACAAGACGAAATTACCACCGAATTGTAATTAGTAGTCGATTTCTTTTTGTATTATATACGTTTTGTTTTCATTTTTCGAAAATAGGACAAATTAATTTATCCTTTCTGATTCACTTTTGTGCTGAAAAAAAATACTTCCATGATTATTCTTTCTGGTATTGATAAATAGAAATTATTCTATAATTATTTTATACCTAGAATTATTTTTTAATTTTATTCATGAATTGCATAAACTGAATATTTCAGTTTTCTTTAAAAAAAATTATAATTCTGTTTTCGGTAATGACAGAATTTTGCTTTTTAAAAAAACCGATAGCGTTTTTGTTTTTTTTGTAATTGGACGAAGTGTCCTGATAACAAAATCTTTACCTAGAAAACCAATTGTGAGTCACTTGAACATTCTTATACATAGTATCTACATATAACATATCTTTAATTGTAGACGAATAGAACGAGATTATAAGAACACCAAATAAGAATGAATTTTTGTATAATATATATATTTGATTAATTTATAAACATGTCGAAATAGAGTCGCATTGTAGCCGGCTTCTCTCTCTGTGGGAATTGACCGATCTCTTTATATACATGGCCACTTTGTACCTTTCCACTAATTGTTATGTCCCCTTCACTATTATACTTATTCTTCATTTCACTTTAAAATTACCGTTGAAATCATTGTTTTTCTTCAACTCGCTCTATTTTTCTGAACTGCAAAAAGGAAAATTGTGAAATTAGCTCAACTTCGTATATTTGTGTTTTTAAGCAAAGAATCTGAGGGACAGTCGAAAGAAAAGTTTGTCCAATGTCATTAATTTAAAAGAAAAAGACAGATTTTAAATTCATTTTGCTGGAAAGGCGAGGAATTTAATTTTTAATATTTAAAACAAATTGAAAGTTGTATTTAGGTAAAAATTACTAGGCAATTTTCTGTCAATAAGAAACAATTGTTAAATTTTAGTTTATAATCATTTATTATTGAGAAAAAAATAATTTTTATTAATTTGTATAAATATTTAACGTCCGAGAATAATTTAATTATTAATAAAAACGACACATTCGGACAACAATGTTACTTTTTATTTTTTAAAAGTCTAACGTTTCGAGGAGTGAAGAGGAGTTTATGATTTAACTCGAAACATTGGACTTTTAAAAAAAAGTAACATTGTTGTCCGAATATGTCGTTTTTATTAATAATTAATTTTTATTAAAAATTTATCTTAAAACTGATCAAAATGTAGAAAATTAAATTTCTTACGCTTCTACCAAAAGGAATTTAAAATTTAAATTGACCTTTTCTTTTAAAATACAAAATTATGACGAGAAAAAGGTAGATTAGATTTTAAGTTTGTTTTAGTGGAAATGTGAGGAATTTAATTTCCAACAATATAAACAATAAATGTTTCTAAAGCTCTGAACGTTAAAATGAACAAAATTTATTTATTTCTTCTTGAAATGAAATTTTTATTACAATAATTTTGCGTTACTAGTAAAAAAAATTGTTTTTAGTGTTTCCAAATGTAAAATTTAAGTTTTTTGTTCTTTTTTTTTTGCAAAAATATTTGCAATAAAAATATTTCGTTCATTTGAATGTTCAAAACTTGTCGAACATTTTTGAATGAAAATTACAATTTTCTGTCATTAAGAAATATTTTTTAATTTTAGGTTTCGTTGACTAAATTGTTTCTCATCTTTCTTATTGACAGAAAATTGTAATTTTTATTCAAGTACAACTTTTAATTGTTTAGAGTTGAAAGTTAACTTCTTTAAAAATTTAATAAATACAACTTGATCAGTAAATAGAATTTGAATTTAATTTTTAAATATAAAATATGAAATTATGACGTTGGACTAACTTTTGTTCGGATTCTTTGTCGATTACTTTCTTGAGCAAGAGAAAATTCTTTTGTTTTTAATTGTGACGCGTTGGGAAGAAAAAAAACCTTAAAAGCAAAATGTTACCTTTTTACCTTGAGTAAAGGATTCTTTTTTAATTTTGTAAAATAAAAAATATTTATTTAGTATTGTAAACGTAAGGCATAAATCAGTTTCAGTTGATTTCTTGACAAACAAAAGGTTTTTTTCTTTTTAGGTTTCTTTCTTCGTGAAGCGAATTTTCAAAAAAAAAAAAAAAAATTGCGAAAAACTAAATTTTTCGTCCACTTTATCATCTTCGATTTTTTCCCTTTAATTTATCTTCCATTGTTCACCAATTTTTTCCTTTTTGGTGCTAATTCCTTATTTCCGGTACAATTTATTCCCTTTTTGCTAAACTTTTTCTTGTCATTTTCTTCCCTACTGGAAGCGTAAAATTAGTCAAAATTTCGCCTTTTGCAGTTAACAAACAAATTTTGAGGGAAAAATAAAAAAAAAATTTTTTTCTGTTATGTTAAAATCTGTCATCAATAATATGGAACAAATTGGCGAGAAAGAAATAAAAAAAGTATATTATAAATTTAAAAATTGTTACAATAAGCAACATTTTTCGCTTTATTTTTAACAATACTTTTTTTGTTGTATAAAGTGTTAATTTTCCGACACTCGCAGAGTGCGTATTAGAACAGTATTTTTTTATACCTAATTTTCACGCGCTTCTTCCATTCTTATGTGCAATCAAATAGAGGATTCACTTAGAAATACAAAATCTTTGTAAAAAAAAAAATAATTACAAAAATAATAATTTAAAGAAACAAAAAATGATACAAGAAAGATTTTGTATCTCTTTTTCGAAAAACTTTGACATAATAATTGTATTGTGTACAATAAATTTGTACACAAATTTTTTTTGACCAAATAGGTCGTTTGTACATATCGTTGTAAATAGTGGTTATTATTTTTAATATAAATTACAGCGACTGTCGAAAATAATAATATATGATTAAAATAAAAAGAGATGAAAAGCAATGTTTTGTAAATTTCTTGTTCCCTTAATTTATTTTTAAAAACAAAAATCGAAAAAAAGAAATTTTTTCTTATATTTAAATTTTAAATTTTCCCGCCGCTTGCGCACTAGCAACGGAGTCGATGAGCGCGCAACATCCGGTTGCGCGCGCATGTGTATATTATCAAAAATCCTATTTTCTACTTTTTAGACTCTAAATTTATTAATTTCGGTCTATTTTTCTCGAATAGGAACCTTAGAGTGATTGTTTTAACTACTTAAACTTTAGGGAAATTTTTAATTATGTATTAAGTCATCCAAGGAGATCCGCGCCTCATGCGGGTGGGCGACATACGCCATTTTGCATCGTATTTTCTCTTAAAAACCGTCAGTGCGTTGCTACATCCGACAGTTTTTGCAAAATTCAATGGTTTAAAGACAATTGTCTAGTTGAAAAAGAACTTATTGTGGCGCGGTTTGCACGCGTTTTTCTTTGCCGTTATTTTGAAAGCAAGCAGTGAGGGCGCGGGGCCATTATAAAGAGGCAAGAGGCGTCCCCCCTTGCGTCGATACCTCCTCCATCTTGTCCCCGTTCCACAATCCTTGATAATAATGTGCGCGAAATCAGAAGATGGTGTCCAATTTCGGCCGTCTAGTTCTTCATCAGCTTTATAAATCACGGATTAATTAAAGTTCATCATCGAAGACGTTCATTTATTCTCAATTTTGAATTGTTTCAAGGTGGCCTTCAACGGCCCCGGAAGATGCTCTGATGAGTCACCCTTCCCCGCCTATGCTGTAAGGAATATTTTCGGACAAATAAAAGAAAATATTTGATTTCTTTCTTTTACTTAACTTTTACTTTCATTACTTTTTTCTTCGTTTTAATCAATTTTGGTTTAAATTGAAATAAACTTTTTATTCCATAAGAATTGATCGAACTGCTGTAAAATATGTAATATCTGCTTTGCATGAATTACTTTTTAACTTGTTTTTTTCGAATTCGTTCGTTGGAAATTTTCTTTTATGCTAAAATAGAAATTTAAAACCGAGTATTAATTAACGCTGTTTATCCTTTTTTTGTTAAGAGACAATGAAGACCACTGCGAGGGATTGACAGGTGGTTATCAGTGAACAAAAATGAATAGTGAACAACATTCGCTGCCAGCGACTACGCAGGCACAGCAAGAGGTGAGAATAATTCGATTTTTTACAGGCTACTTGTCTTCCGGCAAATGCGCATTATTATTATGTATTTGATTCTAGAAAATGTTGCCAAGTCGATGCTGATTTATTCCAATGATCGACTTTGTAGCATTTCGCTTTGAACACTATCTTTACATTAAGTACCTACGTACAAGTTTGTTAAGCACGGACATTTATAATTAAAAAATTATAAAAGTTCTTTATCTTCTCTCTCGTTTTCTCTATACAGTGAAGTTGCTTTTGCACTTATTGGTAATTTGTAATATTTTTAATATCTGTGAATTCTTAAATTTAGTATCAAAGGGAAAAAAGTTTCTCTTAAAAAGATAATAGAATGTTAGAGTGTTTGTCTTGTTTCTGCTTAGTAAATAAAATACTATATCTAATTTGTAAATGTAATTTGTAATTGCAGGCTTCACAGTCTGTCCCCTATTTTCCTAAAAGTCCCCTTTTTTTAATTTTAGCCCCTAAACGTACCCTATTTTTTTCTTTTATCTTTTAATGATGAATTCACACCAAATTTAGCAAAGTGCCGTTGACACTTTCAATTGGAAACTTTTGTTTTAAAAATTATTTTCATAAATATTTTTTAATTCGTCGCAGGAAATCAATTATTTTCAATAATTCTTAAATAATTCTACAAAAGAATTCAATTATCTTGATAACCAACAAAATTCTCCCCATAAAATCAATTCAATTATTTTGATAAATATCGAAATTCTTCTCAAGAATTCAATTATTGTCAAAAATTTTAATTAAATTCTTCCTTGGCAAAATTTCAATTATTTAAACAAAATTCAAACCATAAAATCAATTATTCTTTGGAATTTTAAAAAAATTCTTTTCCAAAATTCAATTATTTTGATAAATATCAAAATTCATCACAAGGATTCAATTCTTTTAAAAAGTAATTAAATACTTTGCCGAAATTAAATTATTTTCAAAATTTTTTAAAAATTGTCGTCAAGAATTAAATTATTTTTATAAATAGATTGGGAAATTCTTCGCAAGAATTAAATTATTGTCAAAAATTCTTTTAAAATTCTTCTCAAAAAGTCAAAAAAAAATTTGAATAAAATTCTTCTCATGAATTCAATTGTTTTCAAGAATTATTATTTAAATTCTTATCAGGAATTCAATTATTTTTAAAAAATGCAATAAAATTCTTCAAAAAGTTTTCAATTATTTTCAAAAATTGTTATAAAATTCTTTAATATAATAAATTTCATTAAAATTTTAATTAAATTCCTTAAAAGAAATTAACTATTTTCAAAAGTTGTTAATACAATTTTTCGTAACAATTAAATTTTATTTCAATACCTATTATTTATTTTTGTATTTAAATAATTGATTTCTCGTAGAATTAAATTATTGTTTTTTGTACTTTTAACTAACAATTCTGTGGAATTAATTTTTTTGAAAAAGTTTAATTGAATAATAATTGATGTTATTGATTTAAAGTAGAATTTTAGTTAAAAATTCTTGAAAATTTTAATTGAATTGAAATGATACAAATAATTATGAAGAAATTACAGTAACAATATTCTTATAATTATAATTTTTGAACATCTTAATTCAAATGAAAAAAAATGATTAAATATTTATTTTAAATAAAACTATTGATGTTTTCGAATAATTTTACTTTTGAAGAAATTTGTAAGTAAATTTAATAAAACATTTTTTTGAGTATCTAATAATTTTTAGAGTGAATCAGAATATTTTTTAGGGTCAGGGAAAAAGTCAAAGTTGTATTTGGAAATCAGGGAAAAATAAAGTTAAATTTTTGTGGCAACCCTGTACAAATAAATTATATTTTTATCTTTATTTAACCAATTTTTATGGTCCCCTAAAAGTCCCCTATTTCCCCTAAAATACTTTTTAGGGACACTGTGAAGCCTGTAATTGTAATTTTTGGTAAAAATGTTAATTTTTTTAATGAAGTAATTCTCTACACAATGGCAGCAGATGATTTAGCGCATTTGTTAATTAGACTAGTGCCTATTGCATGCTGCTGCATGCCATATCGATGTTGTACAAATGTTTGAATGTATATCGATAGGAAGTAAACACTGGTCAAAGTGGTCGTCCTTCGTATCCGGGTGGTTTGCCTGCAACAACCAGCCTTGGAAATGTAGGAAGCACGCCGCATTCGTCCGCGGACCTTCGTGTAGGTACAGCAGTAGCGTTAGCTTCCTCGGTAGCTAAATATTGGGTCCTCACGAATCTATTCCCGGGACCGATACCGCAGGTCTCAGTTTATCACCATCCCCACCATAACGCCTCGCATAGAGGTGGTGGAGGTGGCGAAACTCCTGCGAAAGAATCACCGTCCGCTCTCAATCAGGAAATGGCACTGGCAACGAGCTCCCATCACCAGAACACATCATCTCATCAACATCATCATCAACCACCCGTTACCACCAGCAGTCATCACAGTTCGTTGCAGTCTAATCCCCAGGTTTGTTTACGTAGCTGCACGTTTATCTTGCACTGTAGTTTTTGCCATTTTTTACACCTAGTGATAAAAAATTTCTTGCCTGAAATATTTTTCATACAAAGAATAGTTTTTCATTTCTATTCATTCAAGTGCAAGTTTCCAGAAAAGTAATAGAATTTGATTCTAATCCTTTTTTTTTCTCGATAGATTCCCGTCTCACTTCCTGGTTTGAATTTGGATGGAAATCACATACCGGCGAGTCATTTACAAGCAGCACACGCTCAAATGCAGCAGCAGATGCAGTCCCAACAGCAAATGCATCAACAACAGACACAACAGCAACAGCAGTCGCATCATCAGATGCAGAATCACCAAAATGCCCAAAATAATGCACAAGCAGTCCAAAATCAGAATTCCCAAAGAGACGATAAAGTGAAAGACGAGAATGGAAGTTGTACCACTGAACGATGTAGTGACAATCAAGTACACTGTCAGGTTCAATGTGATCTTCAATTGCAAGCACCTCAGGATTTGCAGCAAACTCTAATGCAGCAGCAGATTGGTGTCAATATCGGCGGCAACTCCGGTGACAATGGAAATCCTAATAATTCGGAGAAAGCTGAAAAGAAGGAGGATATGCGCCAAATAAATATGGCACAGTAAGTATTAGTTTTTCTAAAAAATGTACTTTTGCTTCCTCGTGGAGGAAGCTTTTTATTTTACTGCTATAAAGTAAATATCAAATTCAATGAACTTTCATTGAAGATCTGTGTTCAAAATCGCTTTAGGGCTCGAACTAAATTTAATTTAATTTTGGAAAAGTTAAAAATTATTGCAGAAATTCAATTTTTTTCAAGAGTAATAATATTCGTCGCAAACATTAAATATTGTTCAAAAATAATAAAATTCTTTCACTAAATGACATGATCTTAATAAGTGATTTTAAATTTTGTTTTCAATAGATTCCAAGTTCCCGATTTAAAGCCCGGCGGTCACATGATGGATGTAAGAACTGCTGATGGATCAGTAGTCAAAATCAGCGCTGGAAATGAGCAAGATTTGGCGAAAAGTCTTGGCGTCGAAATGGTGCAAAATATGTATAAAGTAAGTACTGGCGAAAATTGAGTTAAAAATACTAAAAGAAAAAAAATTGAATTTTGGAAAAGTTACAAATGATTGCAGAAATTCAATTATTTTCAAAAGTAATAAAATTCTTCGGCGAAATTAAAAAATGATGAACAATTTAAAAAAATTCTCGTCAAAAATTTAATTATCGCTTCTTTCAGGTGAATGTAGAGGACATTAATCAGCTTCTGACGTACCACGAAATTTTCGGAAAGCTGCAGAGTGAAATCGCGGCGGGAACAACTTTAGTCGGTGGGACCGTGCCCACACAGACAGTTACCACAATCCAAAATGGAGCACCAATAGTGCAACAAGTTCAGTTAAATAAATTTGACATTAAGACCAGTGACGGAGAAGCAACGCCAGGACCGAGTGCATCACCAGTGTCCGTTGGCAGTCACAATTGTGACGTCTGCGGAAAAATATTTCAATTTCGCTATCAATTGATCGTTCATCGAAGGTATCATACAGAGAGAAAACCGTTTACATGCCAGGTGATTATAAATAAATAAATAGCAAATAATGCTACTTTCAGAGTAGTTAAATTTTTCCAGAAAATTGTAAAATTGACGCATGAAAAGTATTAAATTTAAAAACTATTGTCCAAAGTAAAAACCTAGTAAGTTTTTACTAGGTTTTACTAGGTTTTTACTTTGGACAGCAGAAAAAGGGATTTTAAACTCACGTTATTTTACAAATTTTTATAAAATTTCATAACAAACCTGTAAATCTTCAGAAAATTTTTTCTACTGTCCAGAAAAGAAAAAAAAATTATTTGTATTTAAGATTATGTTTGGTATTGAGTTTATTGAACCTTATTGAATAATTTGAATCAATAATTTGCGTTTCTTGTCAGGTTTGCGGAAAAGCGTTTTCCAACGCGAACGACTTGACCCGCCACGGCAAATGCCATCTGGGAGGATCAATGTTCACCTGTGCTGTATGCTTCCATGTTTTCGCAAATGCTCCATCTTTGGAACGCCATATGAAACGTCACGCAACTGATAAGCCATACAATTGTACAGTTTGCGGCAAAAGCTTCGCTCGGAAGGAGCATCTCGACAATCATACTCGCTGCCATACTGGAGAAACACCATATAGGTAAGACTTGTTTCCTTTTATTTTCACTAAACATAAGCAGGCTTGCCACAGGTCAGGAAAGAGTCAGAGATTTTTATTAAAAGTACTGGAAAAAATTTAATTTTTAGAATTCATGAGAAAATTCTGAATATTAGTGTATTTTTTGTTTCCCTCATAAACTGTGAAATTAAATTCTTGCACAAATTTATTTATTTTAAAAGTAAAAATATTCTTCACAATAGAATTCTTCTCCGAAATTCAATTATTTTCAAAAATTTTAATAAAATTCTGGTCAAAATTGCAATTATTTTCAAAAATTTTTCTCAATTCAATAATTTTCAATATTTTTCAATAAAATTTTTCAAAAGAATTCAATTATTTAAAATAATTTTTATAAAATTCTTCGCAAACATTTAATTATTATTTTCATAAATAATAAATTTTTTACAAGAATTCAATTATTTAAGAAACAATTTTCATTACATGTTTTTGAAAAAAATCAATTATTTAGAAGAATTTTTTAAAAAATTCATCACAGAAATTCAATTATTTTTAAAAAATTTTATATTAAATTTACTGCAAGAATTTAATTATTTCCAAAAATAATGAAATTCTTTTCAATTATTTTTAATACAATTTTAAATAAAAATCTTTAAAAAAATGCAATTACTCTTAAAAGTTGTATTAATATTCGTCGAAGAATTCAATTATTAAAAAATTTGTTGATAAAATTCTTTAGGAAAATTAAATTTTAAGAAACACTCAATAAATTATTTATTTTTGTATTTTTCTTTCAAATTAAAAACCTTTAAACTATGAATTTTTTATACTTTTAACTGACAAGTCTGTATAATTATTTTTTTTTATTTTAATTAAATTTATTTTGAAATTATTTGAAATTTTTATTTTCTGATATATATTTAATTGAAGAATTTCCAAATAATTTTCAAAAATAATAAAAAGGAGGAATTCAATTATTTTCAAAAATAATAATATTGTTATGAAGAATTCAATTATTTTTCAATATTTACACAATATTCTTCTCAAAAATTCAATTATTTACAAAAATCTAAATAAAACTGTTAGACAAAAGCTCAATTATATTCAAAAATAAAAAAATTCTTTACTGGTATTTAATATTATTTCCGTAAATAATAAATTTCTGCACAAGAAATCAAGTATTTATAAAAACTTTAATAAAATTTTTGGGAAAATTTCAATTATGTTAAAAAATTTCCATTAATTCTATGATTTTTAATATCTACTATTTAAATAAAATTTTCCAAAAGAATTCAATTATTTAAAAAAAACTTAATATAATTCTACACAAGCATTTAATTATTTTCATAAATAATTAAAATTTGACAGTAATTCAATTACTTATATTTACAATTTTTTATAAATTTCTTCTCAATAATTCAATTATTTTCATAAATAAAATTTTTTTACAAGGATTCAGTAATTTTCATAAATAATAAAACTCATCGCAGAATTTCAATTACTTTGAATACAATTTTAATTTCAATTCTGTTCAAATTAGTTGAATTTTTAATGTGTATTTAATATTATTTCAAAAATTTTAACCCAATTCTTAGAAAGAAATCAATTATCTTGATAAATATCTAAATTCTTCCCAGAAATTCAATTATTTTTTAAGAATTTTAATAAAATTCTTTACAAAATCCAATAATTATTTTCATAAATAACAATATTAATCACAAGATGAAGAATAAAATTATTATTTTCAAGAGCAATAAAATTCTTTTCAGAAATTCAAGCATTTTCAAAAATCAAAAAAAAAATTCTCGTCATGATTTCAATTATCTTTATAAACAGCAAAATTCTTCGCTAAAATTAAATTATTTAAAAACATTTAATTATTTTCATAAATAATAAAAATTTACCAGGATTTGAATTATTTACAAATTTTTTAAACATTTCTTCGCAATAATTAAATTATTTTAATAAATATTAGAATTCATCGCAGGATTTTAATTTTTTTTGATACAAATTTAATCAAATTCCTCGGAAATGTAATCAATTCAATTATTTAAAAATTTGTTGAAAAAATTCTTTGTGCGAATACAATTTTAACAAACATTCAATTATTCACTAAATTATTTATTTTTGAATTTAAATAATTAAATTTTTAATTATTTTAAAACATGAAGAAATCGATCGATTACTTCATGTTTTGTAATAATATATTCTTATAAGCTGTTGAATTTCAAAAAAGTTTGAATTTGTAATTTTTAAAAATCTTCATTCTTATAGAAAAATAATGATTAAATATTTATTTTAAAAAAGTTATTGCTGTTCTTGAATTATTTTACAATTAGAGAAATTCGTAAATAAATGTAATAGAACATTTTTTTGAGCATTTAATCATTTTTCAGGGAAAAAGTCAAAATTTTGTCTCGAAATCAAGGAAAAGTAAAATAAAATTTTTGTGGCAACCCTGATAAGGTACAATGTTCCATATAAACTTGGCTAATCTTTTCTTTCTTTCTTTTTCTAGATGTCAGTATTGCGCCAAAACATTCACACGCAAAGAACACATGGTGAATCATGTTCGCAAACACACTGGCGAAACACCCCATCGATGTGACATTTGTAAGAAAAGCTTCACAAGAAAGGAACATTTCATGAATCACGTGATGTGGCACACTGGAGAGACCCCCCATCACTGTCAAGTTTGCGGTAAAAAGTACACTCGCAAAGAACACTTGGCTAACCACATGCGCTCTCACACCAATGACACTCCCTTCCGATGCGAAATATGCGGTGAGTTGTTAATTCCCATAAATGGAAAAATGTTTCTTTAAATCATGTAATTTCATTAGTAATTAATTACTTTTTTCATGATCATGGTGAATATACTTTAAATATTAAAAAACTGTTTTTGGATTTGTTAATATGAATACAGGTAAGTCGTTTACAAGGAAGGAACACTTTACGAACCACATTATGTGGCATACGGGCGAAACACCACATCGTTGTGACTTCTGTTCAAAAACATTCACACGAAAGGAGCATCTTCTGAATCACGTTCGACAGCACACGGGTGAGTCTCCACATCGATGCGGCTTCTGCTCCAAATCGTTCACCAGAAAGGAACACCTTGTTAATCACATCCGCCAACACACAGGTGAGAGCGGTTGGCAGATGTTCATATCGCGGACAACCAACTTGAACGTTTGTCCTTAACAATATAATTCACTCTTGTGATTGTTTTTTAAAAAAAAAGAATTCTGGGGCTGTGATATTTAAAATTATTTTTTAGTAAATAACGCACGTCTCTTGTTCAATTTGTAGCACGAAATGGAAAAAAAGAATAATTGTTTCGTCCTGTCAAGACTCATTTGCATGTTGATAATCGTTTTCTTAAAATGGTTAATGGGATGTTACAGAAAGTGTGGCCTCATCACCATTTTTTTATTAAAATTGAATTCAGTTTTAGTGTTTAATCTAACTTAACATTGTCATTGTTTACACTCTAACCTCTACGACTTCATTGAAACACAAGAGACATATTCATTGTTCTGCCTAATACACCGCTCTCATACATGCTTACCACCAAAAAGTTTTTGCAAAAAGTCACAAGTTTTTACAAGTTTCATTGTTGTTGGTATTTTCAATTTTACTTTTAAAATTAACTTTTTTTTGGGTACTATTCTCATATTTAATTTCCACTCAAAATATAAAAACTTCAATAAGTTAAAGTAAAGTAAATCATTTGGTTTAGTAATAAATATTTTTTTATAATTTTAATTTTATTTTTCTAATTTAGAGTACATTTAGCGTAAGCAAAAATTTACTTCAGTTTTAGTAATTTATTTTTACTCCAATGGTGGTTAACTTTCTAATAATAGCTTTTTTTCGTTTTTGACCGTTAATAGAAATGTTTACTAATAGTGTTTTTGTATCAATATCAAATTTTGATTACAGTCATAAATACTAGAATTACTGCATAAGTTACATTTTCTCGAATACTATGAATTCTAAATTCTAAATATTATAATTAATTATTATTAATTCTTACTTTCAGGCTTCGCTCTCATCTACTAAAACCTACTATTTACTACTTTTTTACGATTAGCTACTATTTGGATACTTTTTTAAAAATTTGTAACACTAAAAGCTACTTTTTTATATTTTTGAGAATTTTCACGAGTTTAAATTCGCTAATAGTTGGAATAAAGAAATTATTTTTGAAAATTTTAATAAAATTTAAGAGGGGAACCTCCCTTAGACGATCGAAAAATGCATCATTTTTGGGATATTTTTTTTTTTTCTTTAGGATAATACCTTCTATATGACATTTCGATTTTTTTTAAAAAATTTCAAGAATTGATTTTTTTTTACCCACTTTTAAGTTAAAAGTGATTTTTCGTGCATAAAAATTGACTTTAAAATTCCAAAAAAATATGAAAAAAAATTTTGTTCAAGAAACACTTAATGTCATATTGAAGATTATTTAATTATCTTTAGAATGATTAAAACAAAAAAAATTCTGGACTCTGGTAAACATTTCACCAGACGACTTGTGAAAAAAGAAATAATTAAAAATTTTGTAACTTCTTCAATAATACAGAAATCGACTTAAAATTTGATGGGTATATTCTTGAATAGTTGTAGAATCAATTAAAATTATTTCCAGAAAGTCGATTTTTTTGACGCAATAAAGGAGGTGGTTCCCCCCTTAATAAAATTGTTTCTTAGAAACAATTAGAAATTTTTTTTATAAAATTCTTTAAAACAATTCCATTATTTCAAAAATACATTGCGAGAATTCAGTTATTTTTACAAATAATGAAATTGAAATATTTTTAATATCTACAATTTTATTTATTATTTATTTAGATAAACAAATTTATATATTTTAATAAAATTTTTCAAAAAAATTCAATTATTTATAAAAAATTTAATAAAATTCAAATAATATGAATATTCAAATTTTCTCAGTAATTCAATTATGTGAAATAAATTTAAGGAATTTTTTTTGGAAAGAAATCAATTAATTAAATATTTTAATAAAATTCTTTAAACAGAAATTAATTATTTTCTAAAAATTTGTTTATAGGAATTAAATTATTTTCATAAATAATAAAATTCATCGCAAGAACTCAATTATTTTTAATACAATTTTAATAAAATTTTTCGACAGAATTCAATTATTTTTAATAAATTTTTAGTAAAATTCTATATACGAATTGAATTATTTTCAATGCAATTTTAATTTAATTCGTCGAAAAAATTTGCAAGAATTCATTTTTTAAAAATTTTAATAAATTCTTCGTAGAAATTTAATTGTTTTCATAAATAGAAAAAGTTCGTTGCAGAAATTAAATTATTTTTTATAAATAAATAAATAAAAATAGTAGCTATTTTTTTATTACTTTTTTCAGTCTTAATGCTACTTTTTGATACTTTTTCAGTCTTAATGCTACTTTTTGATACTTTTTCAGTCTTAAAGCTACTTTTTTTAAACAAATTATTGAGTGCGAAGCCTGTACTTTAATTATTTTCTCCTACAATGGACACTAATTGAAAACTATGGAATGAAAAAGTTACAGTTTGATGAAAAAAATATTCAAAAAAGAAATTGTTGTAATGAACGATCACATGATTTAATTGATTGTATTCGTCAAAAGTCAACTCGTGCAAATTATAGCTGACTTGAATAAAATATTAACCCTTTTTCTTTAAACAGGTGAAACACCCTTCCGCTGTCAGTACTGTCCGAAAGCTTTCACCCGAAAGGACCATCTGGTGAATCATGTTCGCCAACATACGGGTGAGTCACCGCACAAGTGTCAGTATTGCACCAAATCGTTCACGAGGAAGGAACATTTGACCAATCACGTGCGTCAACACACAGGCGAATCACCGCATCGATGTCACTTCTGCTCTAAATCTTTCACCCGCAAGGAGCATTTGACGAATCATGTACGCATTCATACCGGAGAATCACCACATAGATGTGAATTCTGCCAGAGGACATTCACCAGAAAGGAGCATCTCAATAATCATCTACGTCAGCATACCGGAGATTCCTCTCACTGCTGTAACGTTTGCTCCAAACCCTTCACACGAAAGGTATGATTTTCAAAAAATAAAATATGTAACACTTTTTGTGTTTACGGGACAAAAAATTATTTGTTATGTTTAGGAAAGTTTTTTGTTTGGCAAAGTTGATGTAAATGTTTCCATTGACGCTGAGTACGAAAATCGCATCGACTTTTTCATCCCTTTAAGATTAATTTGTAATTTTAATTGTCATCACCTACTATTTACTGCTTCTTCACGTTTTGCTATTTTTTCATAATTTTCTCAGATTTGCAGGCTTCACAGTCTGTCCCCTATTTCCCTAAAATTCCCCTTTTTTCAATTTTGGCCCCTAAACGTACCCTATTTTGAAAATTTCCCCTATTTTTTTCGTCGCAGGTAATCAATTATTTTCAATAATTTTTAAGTAATTCTGCAAAAGAATTCAATTATCTTGATAACCAACAAAATTCTCCCCATAAAATCAATTATTTAAAGGATTTTTAATGAAATTCTTTTCAAAAATTCAATTATTTTGATAAATATCAAAATTCTTCTCAAGAATTCAATTATTGTAAAAAATTTTAATTAAATTCTTGGCAAAATTTCAATTATTTAAACAAAATTCAATAAAATACTTTGCACGAATTCAATTATTATTTTTATAAATTTTAATGAATATCTTGTCAAGAATTCAATTATTTTTATAAATAGCACACGGAGAGAGAATATAATATATTAAATTTTGTAAAAATATTTTCAAATTGGAGAAAAAGTGCGACAAAGCGAAATTTTGATATAAAAAATACTACACTTTAAAAAAACTTATGTGAAATTTAGTATAATTATATCAAATATCAAGAATATTAATTAAATTCTAATATAACTTTAATAAATTTCACAAAACTTTTTTTAAAGTTTAGTATTTTCTATATCGAAATTTCGCTTTGTTGCACTTTTTCCCCAATTTGTAATAATACTTTTACAAAATTTAATATATATTCTCTCTCCGTGCAAAATTTTTCGCCAAAAATTCAATTATTTTCAAAAATTTAAATAAAATTCTTTGCAACATTTCAATTATTTTTAAAAGTTTTTCGCAATTCAATGTTTTTAAATATTTACTAATTTCATAAAATTTATCAACAGATTTAATTATAGATAAAACTTGTTGATACAATTCTACGAAGAAATTCAATTATTTTCATAAATAATAAAATTTCATGTACGAATTCATTTATTTTTATCGCAAAATTTCAAATATTTTTAATACAATTTTAAATAAATTCCTTGAAAAATGCAATTATTATTAAAAATTTTATTAAAACTTGAGGAAAGAATTCAATTTTAAGAAACATTCAATTATTCAATAAAACTATAAATTTCTTTGCAATAATTCAATTAATATTTTCATAAATAACATTTAATTCGTCGCAGAATATATATTGTTTTTAAAAATTTGCAAGTTATTTTGCAAAAGAATTCAATTATCTTGATAAACAACAAAATCGCATAAATTCTCCCATAAAATCAGTTATTCTAAGGAATTTTAATAAAATTCTTTTCCAAAATTCAATTATTTTGATAAATATCAATATTCATCACAAGAATTCAATTCTATTGAAAAGTAATAAAATACTTTGCAGAAGTTAAATTATTTTCAAAATTTTTTAAAAATTCTCGTCAAGAATTAAATTATTGTCAAAATTTTTTTTAAATTCTTCTCAAGATGTCAATTATTTTCAAAAATTTTAATAAAATTCTTCTTATGAATTAAATTGTTTTCAAAAATTATTATTTAAATTCTTCTCAGGAATTCAATTATTTTTAAAAAAATTTAATAAAATTCTTCAAAAAGTTTTGAATTTTTTTTCAAGAATTGTTATTAAATTCTTTAATGTAATAAATTTCATTAAAATTTTAATTAAATTCCTTAAAAGAAATTAAATATTTTCAAAAGTTGTCAATACAATTTTTCGTAACAATTAAATTTTATTTCAATATTATATATTTTTGTATTTAAATAATTGATTTCTTGTAGAATTAAATTCATTGTTTTTTTACTTTTAACTAACAAATTCTGTGGAATTAATTTTTTTGAAAAAGTTTAATTGAATAATAATTGATGTTATTGATTTAAAGTAGAATTTTAGTTAAAAATTCTTGAAAATGTTAATTGAATTGAAATGATACAAATAGTTTTGAAGAAATTACAGCAACAATTTTCTTATAATAATAAACTGATGATTTTGTCAGTCGGTCATCTTTAATTATTATAAAACATAAAGAAATGGATCACTCCGAGTCGAAGACTCGGAGTGATCGATATCTTTATGTTTTATAAAGTTGTTTAATTTGAAAAGGTTTGAATTTGAAATTTTTGAATATCTTAATTTCAATGAAAAAAAATGATTAAATATTTATTTTAAATAAAACTATTGATGTTTTCGAATAATTTTACTTTTGAAGAAATTTGTAAATAAATTTAATAAAACATTTTTTTGAGTATCTAATAATTTTTAGAGTCAATCAAAATATTCTTTAGGGTCAGGGAAAAAGTGAAAGTTGTGTTTGGAAATCAGGGAAAAGTGAGGGAAAAATAAAGTGGCAACCCTGTATAAATAAATTATATTTTTATCTTTCTTTAACCAATTTTTATGGTCCTCTAAAAGTCCCCTATTTTTTAATTTTCAGTCTCCTATTTCCCCTAAAATACTTTTTAGGGGAAGCCTGGAAGTTAATAAATTTCAGAAGGTTTTAAATAGAAATTTTTAAAATTTTATTCCCGTATAAAAACAAACAAGAAGTATTTAAATATTTATTTAACGAAATTATTCAAGTTTTAAATAATTAAATTTATAAATCAGTGAAAGATCAGAAAAATAAGAAATAAAATTTTTATGACGTCACTGAATTAAATAAACTATTTTTTCGACTTTTTTTCTATTTTAAATCGACTAAAGCGACTTTTTTTTTGCACCTTAAAGTCGATCCGAGGCCTGTGATTCGTAACAGTTAAAGCACGATACATATTTGAATTTTACTTTTTTTCAGGAACACCTTGTAAATCACATGCGTTGTCATACCGGGGAACGTCCATTCGTTTGCACTGAATGCGGAAAGAGTTTCCCATTGAAGGGCAATTTATTGTTCCACATGCGATCGCACAACAAAGGAAGCAACGCAGAAAGACCGTTTCGCTGTGATCTATGCCCCAAGGATTTCATGTGCAAAGGACACTTGGTGTCTCACAGAAGATCTCATTCTGATGAGCGACCACACAGTTGTCCAGACTGTGGCAAGACTTTTGTCGAGAAAGGCAATATGCTTCGACATTTACGAAAACACGCCGCCGAAGGACCACCAACCCAAGTAAGCACTCCCTCGGTAATTCCACAATCAGCAGCCATGCCAATTCCAGCGGCAGCCGCTGTTCTCGTTGGACATCCCCTCACGCAACCCGCGCCTTCCGTTGTACCTCAACACACCGTTGTCGTACCAACTCCTCCCGGTGTATTAGCTTCTTACTAATCAAACTTCTATCCGGTAAAAATCTAATTTACTTTTTTTTTCTTTTTGTTTCAATTTAAAATTCTGTTTTCAATGTTAAGTCAAATTATCAAAGTGATTTTAATTTTTTGTTGATCTAATTTACTTTCTTTCTGTACTTTTAGATATATTTTTCTTAATATTTCACGTAGAAGAGATTTATAGCTTCCCTAGAAGAAAAAAACATTTTTAAAAAGCGAGATATGTCTTCTTTATTATATTGTTTGTTGTTATTCTTAAAGTAAGACAAGCAATTTAAAGTCGAAACCTTGTAACCAAATATATCAATCAAAATTCTCGGTTCTAGTTACCACTAGGACGGGAATTAGTTGCTTTATTATAATTATGGAAAACTTTGTAAAAAAAACCTTTATACGGCTAACGAGTCCAATTTTCAATAGAAAAAAAAGAGTTCTTTGTTGAGACTTTCAAGATGACAGTGATCGCGCACTGATGACTGATTTTTATGTCAATAGAGTATTAGATAAACATCTTGCACAATCTCTTTGCTTCCAGGAAACTCGATCGAAATCTAATTATTATAAAATCTAATTATTCTGAAACAATTCTTTCAAAGAAATTAAAATTAAAATAAGAATCTTTATATAATTATGAAAGATATCGAGTCAATATCAATAACACAGATTATGGCCATAATCAGGTGAAAGAAAAAAATTGTCAAAGATTTCGATTAGAGTTTCGGTTGCTTTCTTTTTACACCAACGGTTAACATTTATCTTTTTTAAAGGGAATCGCTTTTTATTCTATGGTGTCTTTAGATTTAACCAAAAAAAAGCAAAATGTAAATCGTAGAAAATAAGTATCGCGTTCATCCACGTGAAATATCTACTTTTACACTTTTTGATTAGCGCAAAATGATAGCGTGCGTTATTAAATGCTAAAAGTAATAATAATAATGTGTGGAGTAATGTAATAATTAAAAAGTGGTAAACGATGTCAAAAAAAAAACAATCCTCTAATGAACTATTTTCTATCTAATTGACCGGCTGGCTCGATGGTGTAGATATTTAGATACCAATTGTCAGGTTAAGGTGTAAAAAACACTTTCTCTAGACGTATAAATGTTATAAATATCCGAGTGCAATATACGGTTATTAAAGCCGCTTTTGCGTTTTTACCACAATTTGCTAAATTTAACCAGTTTCCGATACCCGTGATTAACCAGCGACTCGGCCCGAATTTCTGTATCGGTGATCTGTTGAGTTCTCGTTTTTTTGCAGTATGAGATTTTTTTTTTGAATTCATATTTAAATTACAAGTAAATGTAAATTTTCTATTTCCATGAAATTTTTTGCGAATACCGGTCGTAAATAAAAACGATATTTTTTTGTTTAGGAAAAGTAATACTAGGAACTAATTTTAATATTTTAAGAGCTATGAATGGTGGGATTTTTAAAATGACATGGGACATGACAATACGATTGTTTATTGAAGTAAAAACAAAATGTGGAACAATTATTATTATGACAATAAATTTTTCCTCGGAGAACATTATTTACAAAATTCCATTCATTGCTCTTTTGAGTTATATTAAAATTAAGATTTGCCCTCTCCAATAAAAGTAAAGAAATATTTATGTTTTTTCTTTTCTCAGGCCTCGGATAGACAATTTTTTTCGATTTTCAAAACATGTGACTTTTAATTTTATTTATATTGTTGGAAATGTATTATTTATGTTAAAATATTGCAACAAAGTACCATTTTTTTTGGGTATAAATTGCAAATTATTTCGACTTTTATAGTTTGAAAAATAGTCAAAAATCTTTCTAAAATTTTGAAATAATTTTTTAGGATAATTTGATTTTCGAAATAATATTTCGATAATAATGTGCATTTTGAACAAAAATCGAACTACATTTCTGACTAAACAAGATTTTTCTAATTTGTATTTTTTATTCTGTTCAACTTATCGAAGTATTCAAAATAAGTTTTCACTTTAGGTGTTTATAAAAAAATGTTATTATTTTTATATATTGTGTCAATATTTATGAAATGATCGTTTTCATTATAGAAAATTGAAAATTATCTTCATTGCAATTAACATCTTCCACATTAGTCAAGGAAAGATTGTTTATAATTTCATTTTTTTTGTAATTGTAGATAATTTTTAATTTTTAATAGTGAATTAATAATTAATTATAGTGAATAAATATTCACTATTATTAATTATTAATTAATGCCTTTGATAGTATTATTCAAAAATACTTTTGAAAAACGTTTCTGTATTATAATTTTTGAAAAATCAATTATTTTTAATATTGTTGGTAAAGTATTTTCAGAAATTGCTTTAAAAAATTGAAGAGTTACACTTAAAGTAATTGAAAAATTGGATTTTTATATGTAAATAATTAAAGTTTAGAAGAACATTTGGAAAATAAAAATAATTGACTTAAGAAATTTATTTCTAAATTCTAAAAAATAATTCAATTTTGAAAGAAACTATTGTAATTTTTGCAAATTAGTTCAATATTCCCTCTTATTTTTCAAATTATCAATTTCTGTGAAAAAATAAATAGATAATTATTTAAATATGAAACAAATTTGTTTTTTTTTTTTTTTGGTTAACAGTGAATAAAATTACTTTTTCGATTTTTTTTTTGTCTTTAATAAACTAAAGCGACTATTTTTGCCCAAATAAAAATCTATCCGAGGTCTGCTCTCTTTTCATACTTTCCCGAATGAACTAAAAATAAAATTTACCTCTTTAAAATACTGCGATAAACTAGAACTCAACACTAAAACTGTAGAAGACATAATAAGGCCATGTATTTCGTATAAAATCTAGAATATAAGAAAAATCAGTAATGGAATGCATATGCGATATGCTTGATAGAGACATTTTTATGATATCCGATAAGATTGTGATTGTCACACTATTCAGTTATTGTATAGGAATATATATATATTATATATATATAAACTAATCTAAAATAATGTACGATAATTTTATGGAATAATTCTGAAAATAGACGTGGAGCTGATTTTATTATCGATAATGTATGTGTGCGTGTGTGTACACATCACATTGGATTTGCGTGCGTTTACGATGTTCAACACCCAATAGACGTCTAGATTCATATATAATATATTATATATATATATCAATGAATATTATTAAATATATTCAAATAAAAAAAAAATGTAGTTAATGGCAATAGTGTACGCCTTAGCGGCGCATTTTAAAGTCAAAAGTAATTGCCACTGTAAACTTTTTTTAAGTGCCGCTAAGGCGTATAAAATGTAGTTAACACCGACTGTGTTACATATAATGGGGAACACCGTAAATCCTTATTACGTTCTAGGAAAAGAGGAATTACACGGGCACGTAGAACATTGTATTCAGACAAATATTATATAAATAAAAAAAAAAGAGAGATATATTATATATATATAAATATATGTATACGCTTGTATACATTACGCATATACCGCATTATACAGATTGAGATAAAAAAAAAATAAAGCTCTTGCAGCGATTAACACAAGAAAAGGGAATAAATAAAGTTTATATGAATTATTATTATTATATTATTATTATTATGAATAATAAGTTACGAGAGTAACATTTAAGAGTTGGTTTTATGCTTTTAAAAAGATTTTGTTTTAAGCTTGTTTTTTGAAGAAAAACGAACAAGTTTCAATCAAATCCTAATATTTCTAAGTCAAAGCGATTTTTTGTCGGTGAAATTATAATTTTTCTTTCGTTTTGTGAATTTATGAAATTTATTAAAATGGGTATAAAACGCTTTGACTCAGAATCAAACAGCAAGGGACAGATAAAAAAATATGATTTACCTATAGATAGAAAAAGATATGTATAGAATTTTATTATGCACCATTGTAATATTATGTATCCCAGTTGTGACACAATATACACTGGTGTTATGTTACATGTGAGAAAAACGTGTTATTTATTAAAAATCCCTATTTTCGAATTATATTTCTATTCAATTTTCTTCTATTAATATTGGAAAAAAATTGTTTAACTAATTTTTTTTATATTTTTCTAATACAATGATTTTTCGTAAATTGATAATTAATTATTTAATAAATAATAATTAATTTATTAATAAGTAAATTTGAGTTGTCATAGATTAGGGAATTTAGAGAAAAGTCAAGGAATTTTATTAAAAGTAAACTGGAAACATAATAAAATTTTAGAATTCATAAAAAAATTCTACGTTTGTCCAGCATCTTTTGAAGATACAGTGAATGCCCCAGTTTCTGTCCATTTTTAAGATTTCTTTTATTTAAATTAATTTTTGAAAATACTTTAATATTAATATTGTTTTAGAGTACAATTATTATTAGTTGACCTAAACTTAAGTGGACGATAACTGGGACATCCACGGTATTAAAAATATTTAAATGTTTCTAAATTTCTTATTTACTTTATAAGTTTTGAAATGACAACAGATTATTTATAAATTAATTAACAAATAATTTTACTTAAAAATTTTGAAAATAATTGAATTTCAAAAGGTTTCAATTTAAAATTTTAGAAAAGTTGAAATTTTTAATGAATGTAATTAAAAATTTTGTCGAACTAAGTTTTTTGAAAAATTGTAATTCAAATTCTTTTGAAATTAGTTAAATTTTGTAATATATATTTAATTATTAATTTATTTAAAATAACTGATTTAGAGAAGAATTTTATGAAAATTATTAACAATAATAGATTTAGAGAAAAATTTTCTGAAAATTATTTTGAAAAATTGTTTTACACAAGAATTTTAGTTAAAAATTTAAAAAAATAATTGAATTTCAAAAGTATTCAGTTTGAAATTTTAGAAAGTTTTGAATTTTGAATTAATTTAATTTAAAATTTTGACGAACTAAGTTTTTGAAAAAATTTTTGAAAATTATTAACAATAATTGATTAAGAGAAAAATTTTCTGAAAATTATTTGGAAAAATGTTTTAGAAAAGAATTTTAGTTAAAAATTTCAAAAATAATTAAATTTTTAAAGAGTTGTGTTTACAATTTTTATGAATTTTTAATGATTTTAACTTGAAATTTTGACGAACTTGATGTTTTGAAAAATTTTAATTCAAATTCTTTTGAAATTTGTTGAATTTTTCAATATATTTTATTATTAAAAATAATTGATTTAGAAAAGAAGTTTCTGAATTTTATAAAAAATAATTGTTTTAGAGAATAATTTTCTGAAAAGTATTAAAAATATTTGATTTAGAAAAGAATGTCAGTTAAAAATTTCATAAATAATTGAAATTTTATAGAGTCGCATTCAGAATTTTTATAAATAAATTTAAAATTTTAGAAAATTTTGAATTTTTAATGAATTTAATTCGAATTTTTGACGAACTTAGATTTTTGAAAAATTTTAATTCAAATTCTCTTGCAATTCGTTAATTTTTTATTATTTAATTATTTATTTATTGCATATAATTCATTTAGAGAAGAATTTTATGAAAATTAAAAAAACTAATTTTTTTAGAGAAGAATTTTAATTAAAATTATAAAAAATAATTGATTTAGAGAAGAATTTTCTGAAAATTATTAAAAGTAATAAATATATTCTGTCTGGAGATTAGGGAAAAAACAAAATCAAATCTTTCTGGCAACCCTGATAATATTTATTTTAGAAAATTTGTAAATATAAACATTTTTCAATGAACTAAAATTTCAAAATTAAATTATTTTTAGAATTAAAATTTCAATTCTAGTTTACAGAATAATTTCTACTATAAAAGTATTATTTTTATTTCTCTGAAGAACTAAAAAAGAGATCTACAGGATTTAATTATTAATCTAACTTAAGACTATAATTTTACAAAAAATGATTTTGTAATTTGGACATTTTATTAAAATATACATTTTCATCCAAAATACAAAAAAAAAAGAAGAGATGTATGTACAATTGATGTTGCCCGAAGTATTTTAAAAGATTACCATAACTGTTGTTATAATATATAATTATATTATAATATATAATTATATAAACTGTTATTATAATAATAATATATTTGCAATAACAGTAGATGAGATTTCAATAACATAAAGCAATATACCACTTTTTTACGAATCACTGAATCGAAATAAGAATTAGAACACAAAATCCAGAAATCTTTGACTCCTAGAAATTTTTTTAAAACATTTTTACACATGAAAGTGATATTAGAAATATACTCAAGTTTATCATAATAAACCAGTTTTGTTATAATTTTTAAAAATATATTTATAAATAAATGAATACAGTCATTGCAGAAAGACCTTCTTTTAATAAGGTTAATTATAATAATATTATATCAGAATAAAATTTGTTGTAGTAAAAAGTCGAAAAATTTATAATTGACATTTTTCTAATTAGCAACTTTTAATAATATATAAAATAAAAACAATTAAAATTAAACGAAATACAAATAATTTATACAAAATATGGATATGTACGACATACGAGTCATCGACTTTTTACAATCAGAACAACAAATTTTAAATCTCAACATCAGATAAACAATTAAAAAAAACAATTGATCGTATTTCAGTTTACAGGATTTTATGAACATTTTACATAATACTAATAAATAATAATATTGTTACAATTCACTACCTAATTAATTATGTTCGTGCAGTGACAATACAATTAATTTCTAGCTTTTATTTGGCGATAATTTTTTTTTTCTTATAACAAAATTCGAAAAGTAAATAAACTTTTGTGTGTATAATTTTTTAAACTTGGGGTGTAGTAATTTTTTTTTTTTGCAATCAGATATTTACAAAATTTTACAATTACATTTATCTATTGCAGATAGGGCGCTTTATTTTGTACTGGTTGCAATTTTTTTTTCTAAGGCACTCTTCAGGCATTCAACAAATGTATGTCCAAAAGAGTTAATTTTCTCTTAACGTATAACAAAAAAAAAAAAAAAATTCTACATAATTTATTCTTAAACATCTAACCGATTATATTTTTTTACGTTAATTAAAATTTGTAAGGACTCTGTATTTCGAATTTGTAAAAGTTGGCACAAATCTGTGATCGACAAATCTATTTTCAAAAAAAAAGAATTTTTTTCCAAAACAATTTTTTTTTTTTAATTAAAAATTAATTAATTTTTAATTAATTAGAAAACTACTAAATCTGAAAATATCGAATCCTGCAAAGTTCAGTCTTTATTTAGAATTTGTTTTTTATGTTCCTTTTAATTAGAAAATTTTTTTTCTTCCTCCAACACATAACCATAAGAACTAAACTAAGATATTTTTCTTTCATTTGTAAATTCATTAATATTGCCAATCGCAATTATTTACGAAAGATTTCTATTCGCAGTGAAAAATACATCAGTTCACTGTTATAAATTTATAATACACATAAAAACTACAAAAAAACAATTCACCTAACAATCTCTGTGTGAGGAGAATTTTTATCTATTCTTGCGATATGATTGATCACAGTTCTGGGCGCGATATAAATTTAGATTTATGACATTGTAACAAGTAAAAAGACGATAAAAAAATTTTTTATTTTTTTTTTTGTCAATTGATCAGCCTTGATATAATATAAAACCCCATCAACGCACGAAACACAAAAATATTTTATTAATTGATCCAATTGAGCCTAAGTTCCTATTTTTCCAATAGAATCTTTTTTTTTTATTAAATATTTACGGTTTAAATTAATATTAATTTACATGTTTATTTATAATTATCAGCTCAAAAGCAGAGCATTTCCAACAAATCTTAGACCTAGCAGAGCGGACTAATTGAAAGAAAAGATCCGCAACACTTCACTAAAGAAATGTTTTTCAATTATTCACAATTTGTCGTGGCAAACTTCGCTGTTCATTCATTTCAACTTCGCTGTGATTAAAATAAATTCTAAATTCAACATTTTGCCTAAATTCTAAGTGAATTGTGTTAATTTAAAAATTTATTTTTATTCTTTTTGAATCATTACTAAATTGTTTTGAATACTTTACGAGAAATTTCATTGGTGAATAAAAAGAGTAATCACAGAATGAGCGTTTAATTTTTTTTCTATTTCTCGAAAGAATTTCCTGATTTTTCGATTTTCAACTCAAAATCTGGGACACAAGATTTATTCACCAATTTTTGTTTTTGAAGGCAGATTAACGCGAAGTGACAAGTGCAATCGAACCGTAAGCATTACGTTCATTTTTTGTTTCCATTTAAGCCTGTGCTTTGTGTAAACATTCAAATAGAGGCACGTAAAGTATTTATACTCCTTGAGTAAAAAGGCAATGCTTTTCATGATATTCGTTGCGATATGGTATAGTATTTTTGTTTCTCTTAAAACATTTTTTACGATTATTATTATCGTTTCTTTCTTTTCTCCGAAAATCGTTGAAAACAGTGTTGATATGTTATTTTCCTGTATTTCTTTTATTGTCGATAAATTCTCTTTCTTTTATACCTTTTTCGAATTTATTGCTTTGATTAATAATCATCTCTTTTGTCATGATGCCGAACAAAAATTGATCTAAAAAGACATCTGACAATTTGATGCACAAAATTATTTTTTGCCACGTGAGCACGTCTTTTTCAATACAAAACAATAAAAATACATTAAATTTACAATCATGTTAATTAATAAATAGCACTTTTAAAGACTTTGGATAAAAGAACTGAAACATTAAAGTCTTTAAAAAAAATTCGATAATTTATGTACAAATACGCCAATAGAGAACTTTGGAAAAATCTAATATTTACTGAGACAATACAAATATTAAAAAGAAAATTGAAATAAATCTCGTATTATTAGCGTCAAAGTACATAAAAAAAATATAATTGTTTATGGGAATTTTAAATTAGTGCATCGTATTTTGTTTAAGCTAAATTTGGTAAAATTGCAACGCTTGTTTAATTTTTAATTTCTAATTCGCTTGTAATGAAATGCAGGTACGTACCCAAGTCAGCAGAAAAATCTTCATATTCCTTTTTCATTGTACGTATTAATTTCCAATATGACGAATTCTTTCTTCTTAAAAATTTCTCTTTGAAATCTATTTAAGGAAAATTATTTCTCTAATTAATTTATTTAATAATTTAATTACTGGCCAATTGTAACAAGAATATGAAATTTTTTTTTAAAATAATAAATAAATAAATGAAACTAATTTTTATGGAAATTTCTATCGAAAGAGAAAATATACGAACCTATTCGACGGCAAATCCGCAAGTTTCCTCAACTGCCTGTGTAAGTTTATCGAGCATCTTCTGATAACACGGATAACTCTGAGGAATATCTATTCGATTAAAACAAGTGTGTGCTTTCGGTAAATTTTCACTAGGTGCGTCTACCGCATGAATTGTGAAAAGTCGGGGTCCAGCTGCTCCAGTAGATCCTTTACAAACAAATCAAATAAACTATTACTTAAACTATTACAGACTTCGTACTCAAAAATTAATTTTAAAAAAGTAGTTTTCGAACTAAAAAACAGTAGTAAAAAAGTAGCTATCGAAAAATTAAACTTGACGACCAAAAAAAAACTCGTTTTAGACACTTAACAAAACTGACAAAAATTCCATTCTATTTTTTATTTTCCTGACTTTTTCCTAATTTTCATCAAAAATATTTACATCTTTCTTATTCTGCTAATAAATTAAATTCTCGCAAACAAATTTTATTATATTCATGAAAGAATTTAAATATTTATAAAAATAATTCAATTCTTGCGAAGAATTTTATAATTTTTTAAATAATTGATTTCTTTTATCTAATTTTAGGCAAATTCTAATTTAAATAATTGAATTCCTGACAAATTTTTATTATTCATGAAAAGAATTGAATTCTTACGAATATTTTTAGAAAAAATTTTTTAAACAATTGAATTCTGTTTGGAAATTTTATGAAAATAGTAGATATTGAAAATCATTGAATTGCAAAAAGTTTTTAAAAATAATTAAATTTTACAAAGAATTCTATTAAAATTTTTGAAAATTATTAAATGTCTGTGTGGTATTTTATTAAAATTTTTTTTAAAATAATTAAATTTATGAAAAGCATGTTATTATTTATGAAAATAATTGAATTCTTAAGAACGATTTTATTAGAATTTTTTAAAAATAATTGAATTCTTCTAAAGAATATTGTTATTTATGAAAAAATTTAATTTTGTAAGGAATTTTATTAAAATTTTTGACAATAATTGAATGTCTGTGTGGTATTTTATTAAAAATTTTTTTGAAAATAATTGAATTTCTGAAAAGCATTTTATTATTTATGAAAATAATTGAATTTTGCAAAGAATTTTTTTAAAATATCACAAAATGATTGAATTTTCGAGAAGAATTTTGTTATTTATCGACCGAATTGAATTCTTTCGAAGAATTATTTATGTAAATAATTGAATTCTTGGGAAGAATTGTATTAAAATCTAAAAGAATAATTGAATTATTTCAAAAAAATTTAACTAAAATTGTATTTAAAATAATTGATGTTTTTCGATCAATTTTATTAAAATATTTGAAAATAATTGAATTTCTGTGAAAAATTCTAATATTTTTGTAAATATGTAATTGAAATCTTCCAAAGAATTTAAAAAACAATTTTTTGTAAATAATTGAAATCTTCCAATGAATTTAAGAAACAATTATTTTTAAATAATTGATTTTTTGAAGGAATTGAAATTAAATTTTTAAGAATAATTACATTTTTTGACCAATCCTACAAAATTGTATTAAAAATAATTAAAAATTCTGCGATGAATTTTATTATTTATGAAAATAATTGAATAGTTCCTAAGAATTTTATTAAAATTTTAAAAAATAATTAAAATTCCTGACAAGAATTTTATTATTTATGAAAATAATTGAATTATTGCGAAAAATTTTATTAAAATGTTTAAAAAGAATTGAATTTCTGTGAAAAATTTTGTTATTTTTTAAAATAATTGAATTCTTTGTAAGAATTGAATAAACTTTGTTTTAAAATAATTATTTTTTTCGAAATATAATAAATATTATAAAATTTTTATTTTTTTAAATAATTGAATTCTTGTGGAAAACTTTATTTGTGAAAATAATTGAATGTTTCGATTAATTAATTTAAAATAGCATTGAAAATAATTGAAATTCTTTGATGAGTTTTATTATTTATGAAAATAATTGAATTCTTGCTTAGAATTTAATCAACAATTTTTTTAAAAAATTGATTTTTCATGAAAAATTTTGTTATTAATGAAAGTATTTGAATTATTGTGAAGAATTGTATAAAAATTTGGTTAAATAATCGACTTTTTCGAAATTTTTTGAAAATGCTATTCTAAATTAATTGAATTCCTGTAGAAATTGTATTATTTATGAAAATAATTTAATTTGTGGATGAATTTTATCAATTTTTTTTAAAAATAATTGAATTATTTTGCGAAATTTGATGAAAATACAAGATATTGAAAATAATTGAATTTCGAATATTTTTTTGAAAATAATTGAATCGTTTTTAAGAATTTGATTATAATTTTTGAGAATACTTTTTTGATTTCTAGTATATAGCGAATTTAAAGTAGTTGAAATTCTAAAAAAAAACAGAAATAATAGTTTTTTGTGGCTGAAATCTAAAAAAAAGTGCCCAAATATTATCATTACGTAAAATAGTAGCAAATAGTAGGTTTTAGTAGATTGCTATTAATAGCCTGCTATTACTTCATTAATAAGATTCATAATAATAAACTTTAACTCCAATAATAAATAATTAAAGGAATGTAAACAGTTTTAGCAAAATAGTATAGTTTTATCTATTATTTATTAACTTTTAAAATATTAGTTTAAAAAACAAAAAGTTACCTTGTAAAGCCTTGAAACCTTGAAGTGGAACTCTGGAGCTCCCGGTGACAAATTGCAACAGTCTTGCTCTCATTTCCTCGCTGTAGGATTCGACAATTTGCCAGAACCACTTGACAACAGGTGTATCGGGTGTGCAATGTTTTAGTCTTGTATGCGTTTTCCAATCATTAATATCGATGGTGCCTAGTCCGCCAATAACGAGTTCGAGTTCCCTTTCATCAAACGGTCTCAATAATTGTGGCGGTATTAATTCATGAAATCCTTTGTGCAAAGCTAAAAATTGCTGTTCGATTCCTCGCATGAAACGATAATTTACGTATAAACGAACGTATTCCTTCTTATTGTCCTCGGTGACTGTCATATCTTTACCTCCTGGTTTTAATTCGTGATTTCGCAAAACACCAAAACTACTGTGCTCAACCGAAAACGACGCATCCAGAACACCGTCTATACTGTTCTCACTGCAAAAACACAAAAGAAAATGTCAATTTTGTAATTTACATTTAGTAGGTAATTAGTTTTTAGTAGAAAAGAATATATATAAAAGAAGATAAGAATATAAAAAAGGAAAATAAAAATGTAAAGAGAAGAAAGAACGTAGGAATATTTATAAACTCACAGCATCCAAGTGAGACTTCTGTGAAGATCAGGATCAACACCCTCGATGTCACTGAGAGTGATCGCCTTGTTAAGCAGCATTTTATAAAATGGCGTTGTAAATCCCCCATCAATATGATGACCGTGAAAAACAGCAATACCAATAATTCTGCCGGCGAAATGAAAATAGGACAAATGTTCCGGATTAATTCCCGAGTCGGCATTAATTTGCAATGTATAATTATCGTCTCTTGAATACTGAAAGAGTCCATATTGAGGATTCAACATTTCATGCGACAATAAATAAAGCCATTCACGTGCAACGCCACCATAATCAAGACCCTCTTCACCACGAAATTTCACCATAAGTCTTTTTCTCATATCTTTGGGACGCATCTTCATTATTAATCTGTAAGACTCTTCGAATATTTCGTTCCTCGACACTTCCAATCTACAGTGACCGCTCTGTGGTTGTAAAGCATTTAATTCAGCTCTTAAACACTTTAATTTTGCTACAAGATCTCTTTTATACTTGGGCAATAATTCACTTTCCATTAATTCCTTCGGTAAATCGGAAATTGTCTGTTGTATCGGTAGAGTTTCGGTGATTGAATTATTATTGCTCACTACTGGTTCAACGCGTGGTCTTGGCTGATTTGTATTTGGTGGTGTTGTCGGTTGTGTTGGCGATGAATTACCAACGACTACTGTTGTTGTTTCAGTTGTTCTTGTCGTTGAATTAGTGGTGTTGTTGACAGGAGTTGTTGTTCCGACATTCAGCCTTTTTAATAGACTATTGATGATTTGGGTGGAGAGTCTAGGGTCTGTGAACTGTGTTGTTCGATTATTATGATCGACGAAATAGACTCTTCCGCTTTGTGTTTGGCGCATTTCCCAACCGCTTGGGAGAGGGCCGAGGTCCAATTCGTTGGCTGATAAATCGCGAGGAATCCGAGGATCATGCCATGTTGATGATCCGGTTGGTACGTGATAGAAATAAACTTGTCCTTGTTGCGTTTTTCTCATTTCTGCAAAAGAAATTGTTGTTCTTTAAAGGTTTGTTCTTAAATAGAAAAAAAGAAAAAGAGAAAAAACAAGCATCACAGTACTTTTTATCCTAAAAAAAAGTGAAAAGGGGAATTTTTTTGCTCAAAAAGCAGACAAAAAATATGCCAAACAACAAATTAAAATATGCTAAGACTAAGAGTTATATTAACAATGTATTAATACTCAAATTTCTTACAATTTTGAATTCTTTGATAGAAAATAACATTTATGTACGAATTTCTTTAATTGTAAAATTATTCGAAAACATTAATAACTTCTGTTTTAAATAAATATTTAATCATTATTATTTTTCCATGGAAATTAAGATTTTCCAAAATTTTAAAATCAAACCTTTCGAAGTTCAATAACTTAAAAGAAAATTATTATAAAACATGAAGATATCGATCACTCCGAGTCCTCGACTCGGAGTAATCGATTTCTTCATGTTTTATAATAATTTAGGATGACGGAATGATAAAATCAATTTATTTTATATTATAAGAATATTGTTACTCTAACATCTTCAAAATTATTTTCATCGTTTCAATTCAATTATTATTTTCTTCCATTTTTTAACTAAAATTCTTCTTTAAATTAATTATTTTTAATAATGCTTGAAAAAGATCTTTAAGAATTTTCAAATCTATTTGTTTTAAATTTAATTTTACGAAAATTCGAATATTCAGTAATTCTTCAATTAAATTAAATTAAATACAAAATTCGAATAATTTACAAACAAAAATTCAATTAACTTAAAAAAAAATTCAGATTTTCAAAGATTTTAATTTGAAACCATTTGAAATTTAATTATTTCTAAAAAATCATAATATAATGCTTCTAATATTCAATTAGGTATTATCTAAAATTTTAACAGAAATAAATTTCTAAATCAATTTTCTTTTAAAAATTCTACGGGAATTCAATTATTTAAATGCAAAAATAAATAATTTATTGAATAATTGAATCTTTCTTAAAATTTAATTCTAATATAAAGAATTTTATCAACAAATTTTTAAAAAATTGAATTTTTTCAACGAATTTGAATAAAATTTTTAAACATAATTACAGTTTTCAAAGAATTCGATTAAAATTGGATTACAAATAATAATTAAAATTGTGCGATACGAAATTCATTATTTATGAAAATAATTCATCCTAAAATGCTTCAAATATTCAATTATTATTTAAAATTTTAACATAAATAAATTTTTAAATAAATTTTTATTAGAAAATTTTACGGAAATTCAATTATTTAAATTGAAAAATAAATAATTTATTAAATAATTGAATGTTTCTTGAAATTGAATTCTCATATAGTATTTATTAACAAATTTTTAAATAATTGAATTCTTTCGACTTTAATCAAATTTTTAAGAATAATTCATTTTTTTGAGGTATTCAATTAAAATAGTTTTAGAAATAATTGAAATTCTGCAATGAGTTTTATTATTTATAAAAATAATTGAATCCTTTTAAAAAATTTTATTATTTTCATAAATATAAATTTATGAAAATCATGGAATTATTGAGAAGAAATTTATAAAAAATTTGTAAATAATTGAATTCCTGTGAAATTTTTATTATTTATGAAAATAATTAAATATTTACGGAGAATTTTATTAAAATTTCTTTTAAATAATTGATTTCTTTATTCTTTTGGAAAATTTTATTCAAATACAAGATATTCAAAATCATTGAATTGAGGAAAATTTTTCTGAACATAATTGAAATGTTGCCAAGAATTTTATTAAAATGTTTGAAAATAATTGAATTTCGGAAAAGAATTTAATTATTTTAGAAAAATAATTTAAATTTTGACGAGAATACAATTATTTAAATACAAAAATAAACCATTTATTGAGTAACTGAATGTTTCTGAAAATTGAATTCTCATGAGGAATTTTATCAACAAATTTTTAAATAATTAAATTCTTTCGTCAAATTTTTAAGAATAATTGCATTTTTCGAGGAATTCATTTAATATTGTATTAAACATAATTGAAAATAATTTAAATTCATTAAATAATTGAATTCCAGTGAAATTTTTATTATTTATGAAAATAATTAAATTTTTGCCGTTTTGTGTGGAATTTAATCTAAATTTTTTTTTATATAATTGAATTATGGAAAATAGTAAGTTTTGAAAATCATTGAATTTCGAAAATTTTTTTAAATTTTTTATTGAATTTCTACGAAGAATTTTATAAAAATGTTTTGAAAATAAACGAATTGTGGAGAACAATTTAATTATTAATAAAGATAATTGAAATTTTGAGAAGAATTTATTCTGCGAAGAATTTTATGGAAATTTATGAAAATAATTGCATTCTTGTGAAGAATTTTTTTTAAAAATAATATTTAAAAGAATTTAGTAAATCTGAAGAATTTTGCTATTTATGGAAATAATTGAATTCCTGAGAAGAATTTTTTTACATTATCTAGAAATAATTGAATTTTTTCGACGAATTGTAAACATTTTTTTAAGAGTACAGTAGAGACTCCATTATCCGGACCCCTATTATCCGGATATTCGATTATCCGGACAAATTTAAAATAAAAAAATTTTTTTTTAATATAAAGTTTACAAGGTCTCAAGCCGTTAATTAACTTCTATTTTAAATTTATTTACACGAAATGTTGCGTTTTAAAGTGTTTTAATTATTTTTTAAGAAAATGTTTATGTAAATATTTTGAAATATTTCTAACTAAATATTTATTAATGTTGAATTTAAAAGTTTTAGTTTGTTTCAGTCTTATTTTAATACATATGCAAATAAATACATAAAATTATGAATCAAAAATTTGTTTAATTCGTACTTTACTCGATTATCCGGATTTTTGATTATCCGGACAAGTGCCTGCATCCATTAGTCCGGATAATGGAGTCTCTACTGTAATAACATTTTTCGAGGAATTCGATTCCAATTGTATTAAAAATAATTGAAATTCTGCAATGAATTTTACTATTTATGAAAATAATTGAATATATTGCGAAGAAATTTTTAAAAATAAAATTATAATTACGGTGACTAACTTCCCTTGATTATTTTCGAAAAATTTAAATAAAATTCTTTACCTAAAAGAATTTAATTATTTTTAATAATAAATAAAAATAATAATGAATAATACATAATAATAATTATAATAATGAATAATGTAAAGAAATTTCAATTATCTTGAAACAATAGAATTGAAAAATTTCAAAAATCCTATTTTTCAGAATTTTCAAAAAAACTTTGCGAAAATTTAATTTTATTAAAAAATTTTAAGTGTGTATCTTTTTTTAAATTAACTAATAAAAATTTGAATTATTAATCTTCGCACTAAGAAACATGAATACATTAGAATATGACTCTTTATAAATTTCAATTATTTATTAATCATTAAATTAAAATACTTTGAAAATCGATTTGTTGAAAAGTTTTTAATGCAATTTTTTAACAAATTTAATTATTTTCAGTTGAATTTCACAAAATTTCTATTAATTCGATAATTTTAAAAAAAATTTATTTACATACCTATAAATATCTATAAAAATTGATATAAAAAGGGATTTTTTAAAAACAAATCAAAATAATAAAACTTTTTTTAATTTGGTAAAAAAATTCCCGGTTTGGCATAAAATTTCTGGCTTATTCCCGGTTGGTAGACACTCTGCAAGAAGGTATCGAAATTCAGAATTTTCGTATGAATTCTACAAATTTAATTTTTTTTCAGTACTTTTAATAAAAATTCATGACTTTCCTGACCTGTGGCAACCATGAATGAAAAAACGAAGAAAAACGAAAAAGAAAAAAGAGAAAGAAAAGTATGAAAACCAGTTTTTTTTCTTACCATAACCACGTGGTAAATCTAAAGGTTGCACATCACTTCTCCTTTCACCGTTAATAAACCCACTGTTACGATTGCGATTAGTTCGATTAGGCCTTCGGGGTTGATTTGTGTTGGTGGAAGGACGTTCAACTCTTAGATTTCCGTTTGGATTTCCGTTTTGTTCATCATTGGGTCTTGGTACGGGTCTTCTCTCTCTGACCGATGAAGAAGGAGGCGTATTTCGAGTATTCTGCTGACTCGGCGTTTGCTGTTGCGTTGGCGTATTTTGTGCGGAATTTTCCCTACTCGGAGTTCTGTTCGGAGTTCCCTCCCTATTTGGAGTTCTCTCCGTATTCCACTCGGCCGATTGCCTTGAAGGACTTTCGCTGGCACTGCCACCCGGGAACGTATCAGAGCAAATTACAGGCGGCGGTTCAGGCGTCGTCGGTATGATATTATTGCTAGCTCTGGAAAATAAAGTTCAATTTAATGTTAAAAATACTTAACCGAAACAATGTCAAAAATACTTGAACAAAAAAATGTTTATTCAAAAAATCGAAGATTTTTTGGATAAACATTTTTTTGTTCAAGTATTTTTGAATTATTGACAAAAAGAAAATACCTGACTGTCGGACGAATCCACTGAGTAGTTCTGGTATAATGATTGACGTAGTAGAGTCTACCACTTGCGGTTCGTTGTTCCTCCCAGCCATCGGGAAGATCCGTGGGACAACTCAAGTCGCCGAGAACGTCAACAACTGCATTGTGCCCAACAGTGTTGCTAACTGCACCATTATGACCGTCGCGCGACAATAGGGAAACTACAATTTGACCTTTGACTGCGTCAGTGTCATCCATATTCGCTTTGCAGAGATCCAATCGTTGATCTGAAGTCAGCAATTTAGAGAGAATTATTAATATCACTAAATGCCAATGAAATATTGTAAAAATAGAATATATTATAAATATATGTAAATGTCAATTACATCCTGTATCTTTGAGCCTCTGAATAGTATTGCATAATATTCGAACACATCCGAGAAAACCTCCACCTTGCTTCTTGTGTATTTTCCTGTGATTCCATACTGAGATAGTAATTCCATCATTTTTACCCAAGTATCTGGAAATTAAGGGGAAAAAAATGTCATAAGAATTCTTCGAGACAAATTGAAATTTCTTCAAAAATTTAAACTCTTCAAAAACTTGAAACTCTTCAAAAAATTGAAACTTTTCAAAAACTGAAATTCTTCAAAAATTAAAACTCTTCAAAAATTGAAAATCTTCAAAAAATTTTAATTCTTCAAAAATTGAAATTCTATTGTCAAACTAAGAAAAAAAAAACAAATAGAAAAAACGAAAATTGAAAAAAATTAACAGAAAAAGAAATTAAAACAAACGAAACAGAGTTGCCACAGCTAAGGGAAATCAGGGAATTTAGGGCAAAATTTGGGAAAGAACAATAATTGTTCAGGGAAATCAGCAAATTTTATTAAAAACACTAGAAAAAAATTAAACTTTTATGGAATTCATAACAAAATTCTGAAATTTGGTTTCTTTTTGCTTGCCTTAAAAGTTAAAACTGAAATTATCAAGAATTCTTATAACAAATTTTAATTTCTTTCTATTTTTGACAATGATTTATTTCAAATAATTTAATTCTCAGAGAACTATTAAAAAAATTATTACTAAAAAATTATTTAATGAATAGTTTCACTTAAATATTTGAAAAATAATTGATTTTCTCAGAAGAATTTTATTATAGACTTTAAAAAGAATTCAATTTTATGGAGAAATTTTTGTTAAAATTGTATTAATAATGTAATTGAATTCTTATGAAGAATTTTATTAAATTTTTGCAACGAATTTTAAAAATTGAGACCTTGCGAAGAATAAAATTAATTTTTGAAAATAATTGAATTACTAAGAAGAATTTTATTATTATTAAAGAATATTGAATTCCTAAGAAGAATTTTAATCTTTTTTAAAGAATATTGAATTCCTAAGGAGAATTTTATTATTTTTAAAGAAAATTGAATTCCTGAGAAGAATTTTATTGTTTTTAAAATTATAATTGAATTCCTGCTAAGAATGTAATTGAAATTATTGAAAATAATTGAATTTTGGTAAAAATTTTATTAACATTTTTTAAAATATTTAAATTCTAGCGAAGATTTTTATTAAAATTTTTGAAAACAAATGAATTTCTGATAAAATTTTATTATTTTTAATAAAAATTGAATTCCTCAAAAGAATTTTATTATTTTTAAAGATAATTGAATTCCTGCTAAGAATGTAATTAAAATTATTGAAAATAATTAAATTTTGCTAAAAATGTTGTTAAAATGTTTGAAAACAATTGAATTCCTGTGAAGAATTTATTTATTTTTAAAGATAATTGAATTTTTGCTAAAAATGTAATTGAAAGTTTTGAAAATAATTGAATGCCTGAGAAGAATTTTATTATTTTTAAAGATAATTAAATTCTTGATAAGAATGTAATTAAAATTTTTGAAAAATGCTAAGAATTAAATTGAAATTGTTAAAAATAATTGAATTTTGCTAAAAGTTTTATTTACATTTTTTAAAATATTTAAATTTTAGCGTAGATTTTTATTAAATCTTTTGAAAACAATTGAATTTCTGATAAGAATTTTATTATTTCTAATGAAAATTGAATTCTTGCTAAAAATGTAATTAAAAGTTTTTAAAAACAATTGAATTCCTGTGAAGAATTTTATTATTTTTAAAGATAATTGAATTCCTGCTAAGAATGTAATTAAAATTATTGAAAGTAATTGAATTTTACAAGAAATTTTAATAAAATTTTTGAAAACAATTGAATTTCTGAGCAGATTTTTATTTTTTTTTTAAAGATAATTGAATTCTTGCTAAAAATTTTGTTAAAATTTTTGAAAATAATTTAATTTCTAAGATGAATTTTATTAATTTTATTAATTTTAATGATAATTAAATTCTTGTCAAGAATGTTATTAAAAATTTTGAAAATAATTGAAGTTCCAAAGGTTTCAATTCAAAATTTTAGAAAATTTAAATTTAATTATTAAAAATAATTGATTTAAATGAAGAATTTTAGTTAAAAATTCAAGAAAATGATAATTAAATTGAAATGATGAAAATAATTTTGAAGAAGTTACAGTAACAATATTCTTTTAAAAGTCGTTGAATTTCAAAAGGTTTGAATCTGTAATTTTTTAAAAATCTTTATTCCTGTGGAAAAGAATAGTGATTAAATATTTATTTTAAAGAAAACTATCGATATTTTTGAATAATTTTACAATTAAAGAAATTTGCAAAGAAAGCAGTTAGAACATTTTTTTTAAGTATCTAATGACTTTTAGAGTGAATCAGAATATTTTTTAGAATCAGGGGAAAAGTCAAAATTCCGTTTGGAAATCAGGGGAAAAAAATTAATTTTTTGTGACAACCCTGACAAATATTGTAAATGTACAAATTCCTTACAAATCGTAATGTTGATTCCATTTTGGATCGAGAGTAGCTTTGCACGTATCGGTACTGTGGCATTGTCCAGAACCATCGACAGTGATTTTGGCAAAAGGATCCGGGAGACCTGAAAAAATCACAGAAGTATTATAATTGGTTATTTCTATTAGGAAACAAAAAATATTTTTGCCTTTTTCTATTTTGTAATCTATGCATTATTGCGTGCGTCTACAGTATATATTTTAAATAAACAATTTATGTAATGTTCATGTAACACAAATTGAAAAAAAAGCAGAGACAATTGTCTCATTATAGATTGTAAAATCTTATTTAAATGCACTTAATCCGATAAAAATTCTTCGAGAGACATAAATAGTAAAAATACATAAAAACAGTAAATACAATTCATGCACTTGATTAAGAGCGACAATTTCTTTTCCTTAACAATTTTCAAAAGAAATTGTCTTTACAATTGCAATAATTAATAAAACCATATAAAAAAATACTCGTATTTTTCGTTACTTTTCTTCGTTATCTAATTTAAACATTTAAATTGTTAAATGATGATAATACTTACGAAACAGGTCTTTCCTTGCGAGATTACGGGCACACAATACTGGAAAAAAAAGAATAAAAATCAGTTATTTTTATATATAGAAATATTTGGGCTCTTTTACGACTTGAAATAAAAATCTAATATTAGATTTACAATTTCAGTAAACAATAATTCGTTTCGATTGAACGATACGCTGTGACTAATTGTTTTCAATAAATAACAATTCCTTGCAAGTGATTTTAATCTGTCAATAAATACAATTTGCATTCTTAGCTTTAGTGTTTTACAGCTTGTTTTTTTTTATTTCGATCTAAAATCGTTCCATACTTTTATTCAATGAGACAGAAGAAGAATTGATTACCATACAATACTAATTATAAATCAAAAATTTAATTATCATACGGGAAAAATAAATTACGACAAATAAATTATCACGCAAATTGTTTTTGAGGTAAAAAAATAACTTTTCGAAAAATTACCAGCGATTTTTTAAATAAAAAAACAAAATCAAAAAAACACTTTTCGGTCTTTTGTCGTGTCAAGTAACAATTGAGGCAAAAATGCGGGTACTCATGCGGGTATTTATGTTAATTGTCAGTGTCAAATAGAATATTTCGTTAAGTACTTGAAATAGTAAAACTACTTTTTTTTTCATTAATTTGCACTGAATCATATATTATGAATGTCCCTAATCCTTTTTTAGTTTACTTTCCAAACGCCTTTTTTTTAATTGCACAATTCCGTGTAGAACGAGAATAGAAAATTGTCTCTAGAGCGAAAATAGCGTATGAGAAATTTACAGCACAAATGCGAGTGTACGGTAAGGTTTTAAGATGAAAACTGTATTATAATTGTCTAAGATTATTTTTTGATGTAAAGTCTAAAGTACTGTCAGGGAGTTGCCATAACCAACGGACGGTGTCCATAGGCGGCCATTAAGGAATCTCCCGACTTGCTCACACAATTTTTCCAAGTCAAATGAATTGTTACACATGCACGGAAACAATGAACAGGTAAAAGGATTTCTATTGTCGAGGTCATAACGAGGCCATATTAAATAATAAGTAGTTATAAAAAGGGTATTGAGCTTGTTGACTAAATGAGTTACGATGCTCTTGCCAACTTTCACGGTCCAGTAAAGTTACAAATTTTTTCGTTTACTCACTCGTTAATCGGATCTTCATCGACCCAATCCTCCTACTACCGCCAGGATTCGACATTTTTCACAAACATTTAACAACTTAATCCACACATCGGCTTTTTAATTAGTAAATAAATGTGTCTCTTTAACTGCGATGTGCTCCCACACACAACCCCATACTACAGTCCCACAGTCCCACTCACGCATACAAACATAATAAATAAATAATTGTCTCTCTGTCGGTAAAGTCGCATTTTGGTGTACTGGTTCGCATTATCGACTGCTACAACGGCGCGAAAATTCAAACAAGAAATTATTTTTTACAGAAATAATCATTAAAACTTGATACTATCATTATTTTATATTATAAAAATATTATTACTGTAATTTCTTTAAAATTATTTTCATTTCAATTCAATTATTCATTTCTAGAATTTTTAACTAAAATTCTTCTTTAAAGCAATTATTTTTAATAATTTTTTTTTAAAAGTTCTTCTTTGAGAATTTTTAAATTCATTTGTTTATAATTCAATTTTACATAAAATTTCGATTATTCTGAAATTTTTCAATTAAATAAATTAGAAATTAAAAACTTCAAATAATTAAAAAAAAATTCCATTAAACTTTTTAAGAAAAATTAATTCTAAATTTCCTTAAAAATTTTTGTCAAGAATTTAATTATTTTTATAGATAATAAAATTATTCAAAGGAATTGAATTATTCTCAAAAAATTTTAATAAAATTCTTCGAAATAATTCAATTATTTTTAAAATTGACAAAATTTGTTCGCAAGAATTCAATTACTTTCAAAATTGATAAAATTCTCCGCACAAGAATTTACATTATTTTCAAGAATGATAAATTTCTTCGTAATAAATATTCAATTATTATTTATTTTCAATATTAATTTTTACGTATAATTTCGATTATTCTGACATTCTTCAATTAAATATATATATATTAGAAAATAAAAACTTGAAGAATTAAAGAAAAATTCAATTAATATTTTAAAAAAAAATTAATTCTATACAGAATTGTTAATTAAAAGTACGAAAAGTTCAAATTTTCAAAAGATTTTAATTTGAAATGTTTTCAAAATCCAATCATTTCTAAAAATTTACGCTGAATTGCTTTTAATATTCAATTATAATCTAAAATTTTAACTGAAATTTTTTTTTAAATCAAATTTTTATTAGAAAATTCAAAAGGAATTCAATTATTTAATTACAAAAATAAATAATTCATTGAATAATTGAATGTTTCTTAAAATTGAATTTTCTTAAAGAATTTTATCAACAAATTTTTAAATAATTGAATTCTCTTGACAAATTTTATTAATAAAATTTTTAAAAATAAGTTCATTTTTTAGAAATATGATTAAAATTTTAATTAAAAATAATTTAATTTCTCCAAAGAACTTAAATAAGAGTTTTTAAAAACAATTAAAATTTTGCCAAGAATTTTATTTAAATTTTTGAAAATAATTGTATTCCGGAAAAATATTTATAAAGATTATTGAAATTTGGATGAGAATTTTTGTAAATTGTTGAACGCAATTAAATTTCTGCGAAGAATTATTATTAGTTTTTAAAAATAATTCAATTCTTAAGACGAATTTTATTAAAATGTCTTTTTAAATAATTGAATTCTTTTATGAAATTTTATTGAAATATTAGACATTGAAAATAATTTCATTTTGGCAAATGTTTGAAATTATTAAAATTTTCTGCGAAGAATTTTATTAAAATTATTTAGAAAAAAAATTAAATTTGTTACAAAAAGAATTTCATTAAAATTTTTGAAAATAATTTTATTTTGTTCAAGAAATTTAATTAAAACTTTATAGAAAATAATACTTAAATTCTAATAAATAAATTGTAGCAAAGGTTTTTAAAATAATTGAATAATTTTTAATTTTAATTTTAATTGAATAATTTTCTTTGATGAATTTTAATAAAATTTTTAAGAATAATTTCATTTTTTGAGGAATTTTTTTAATCATTGATTAATATTTTATTTTAAGAAATAAAAAAGAAAACTATGACAATAGTAGTTGAGAAAAGAAAACTAAATTACCGAACAAAGGAATTTTTATTAAATTCTTTCTTTCAAAAATACACACGATATTAAATATTTTAATTTTCTTAAAATTAACAACGTTACAAAATATTTATAAATAAGATAAATAAATTTCACGATTTGTAATGGATATAACAGTCATAAGCTAAATCTATCTTCTATTTCTACACACATTTATATATTTGTTTATTATGCGTAGTAAAAGAAAAGAAAAATTCTGCTTTGTAAACAGAATTGTTAAGCGTAACATTTATTATAGAAACAGTTATTTGACTGGATGATATTTTGCAGAGGCATAATTAAACTTTCGCACAAGAAAAGTTACACTTTGATCATAAATGACAAATGAATTCGTGAAATTAGCCTAAATAAACGTAAATTTTATTTTAAATTCTTAAATTTAATTAAAAGGGACTCTCATTAATAAGGCATTCTTTATTTTTCTTTTCTGAGTATTTTGTACTTTTGACACATTATGTCTCAGGTAATTATTCTTAACAATTAAGAATTATTATAGAAAAATATAATAAATATTTCATTTAATTTAACATGTGTAGAAAAAAATATTTGTGCATAATTATAAATTTAATTGAATTTTACACACATTAATATAAAATTCAATTTTTAATAGGTCGAAAAATTGGAAAGTTTTTCCTAGGCACAATTTTGAATAATAAATTTTGTTTTTGTGTCTGTAAACAAAGACAATAGAACGAAGTATATTAAGTCTTCTTTTCATTGTAGCAAAATTAATAAATATAATTTACATTTTTTTTTAACATAATGTAGAGTTGAACTTAATGGCACACTTTATACAGGAGTGCAATGAAAATATTTTAATCAAATGATAGATTCTTTTGACTATTAGCAAATAAATATTTATTTAAATAAATATACCAAATTAATATTTAAATATGAAACAAATATTTATTTCTATGCTTTCTATTGTCGGTTTTATAAATTATTATCGAAGTTCAGGATTAATTAATTAATTTCAAGAACAGAAATTATTGGCTCGAACACAATTTATTCTTTGAACAATAATATTCTGTTTGAATAATGTTTTAAGAATAATAATATATTCTTTTATATTTATTTAATAATATATTCTTTAATGTTTTAATATAATATTTTTTGAATAATATTCTAAAATAATATATTATTTTAATAATGTTTTATTTGATAATAGTCAAGTTCCTGATTTAATTTTTAATTATATAATTTTTTTCAGTGTATTTCGCAACTCTAAAAGAGCTTGGCGATTTTCTTTTTTTTTTATTAAATAGTCTCGAGCAGTCCCTTGTGAGAAATGAAAAAATTTTTTAAGCTTCTCCTCTAAATGTAAGGAACGCATCCAGGAGGAACAATACTCCTTCGACGATGGCCATTGATCCTTTAGCGATTCCTGTATCTTTGTGAGATTTGCTGAAGCCAAAGGTATCAGAAAATGCATTTATGTTGAGAATTCCAATCACAATGAAAAGTGCACATCCGATAATACTGTAGAATAGATCCTGTAACATAATTAATTTAACATTAAGTGAATTGCATTAAATTAATAAATTAAATTAATCATTGAAATTATTAGGATATGAAACTATTGAATTAAAATTAATCGAACAAATTAGGAATTATTAAATTGAAATAAATTAATCGAACAAATTAAATAAAATTAATTAATCAAATTATTGAATCAAATTATTAAATCAAATATAATAAATTAAATTAATTAATCAAATTCCAACACTGAAAAAGGAATTTATTTGATTCAAATAACCGATTACTTGTCCATTATCAAATAAATATTTACTTGAATCAAATAATTTTTACTTGAATCAAATAAATTATATTTGAATCAATAATTTCAGTATTTGATTCAAACACCATGTAATTGATTTAATTAAAATTTATTTGACCAAATATTTATTTAATAATAGGCATAAATAAAAAAATGGTATTTGAATCAAATATACTGAAATTATTGGTACAAATATAATTTATTTGATTAAGTAAAAATTATTTAATTCAAGTAAATATTTGTTTGTAGACAAATAATCGGTTGATTGAATCAAATAAATTTCTTTTTCAGTGTAATTACATTATTAATTAATAAAATTATTAAAGGAAATTATTGAATAATATTAATTCTTTAAATTAAATATAATTAATATAAATAAATTAATAATAAAATAAATTAATTTATTAAAATTATTAAATCTTTTTTTTCGATTTGACTGAAATAAAAAAATAATTGCCGAAAATATTTTTTATAATCGAAATAAAAATATTTATTTACCACTCGGCGGTTGACTGGGGTGCTCATAACACCTCCAGCGAACAATCCAATTAAAATAATAAGATAGCCTCCAATGGTGCCCATTGTTAAAAAGCGAATATGCTGTTTGAATCCAAGATCATCCGAATAACAATGCAACAGCAGGAGAATGATTACTACCGCCTGAAAAATTAAAGAGATCATTAGTATTCGAACCATTTTTTCACTTTCTATTAATTAAATTATTAGTATTTAATTAAATTTTTTTAAAATTAGTTTAATTAATTTCTTCATGACTTGTTTCAATTTTTATTATTTTTATATTTTATATTTTATTATTTTTATTAATTATTAATTTCTTCTGTTCATTTACTCTCCTTGCAAATATTAATTATTAACAAAATTAAAAATGATTAATTATTCATAGAATTAGTCATTAATGATTATTAATAAAATTAGCAATTACTAAATATTAGGTATAATTAAATTATTAATTACTAATTGTTAATTATAATTCGAAATTAAGAAATAATTACTCGAAGTAGTAATTACTAATTATTAATCAAAGTAGTAATTACTAATTAATTATCAAAGTAGTAATTACTAATTAATTATCAAAGTAGTAATTACTAATTATTAATCAAATTGGTAATTACTAATTATTATTAATTAAATTATTAATTACTAATAATTGATATATTAATTATTAAATAAATTTACAGTTAATAAATAAGGGAATTAATATTTTTCATTAATGACTAATTAAAATTTCATTGAAAAAATTGTATTTATAATTTTCTTTTTTGTAATGTGTAACAAAAAAATAATGTAAAAATTGCGTTAAATTGAAGGAGGTCAATAAAACGAGAACATCGACTTTATATCGTCATATATATACTAATATTCGAAAACACTTAATAAATAAACGATTACAATAGGTGAGTGCTCTACTTGTAAAAGTTCGTCTTACAAGTAATATATTGACGCAGGTTAAGGTATAAGTGCTTTTAATCGATTTGAGTGATAATCGTATACATTGTTGTTGTCCATTAAAAAACAGGAATTACTCCTATTTTATATTTTAACAATAATTCATTCTATAGACTATTTTTCATAAACATATATATACGATTTACTCAAGTTTAAACTAATATTAAATTATAGTCACGTAACCATTGTATTTTAAATATAATTACATATGTAAATAAGTAAAAAAAAATGTAAAAAAAACAATTTTTTATTCTTTTATTATAATTATTTATTCTAAATAAAAATAAATATTTGTTTTTACTATTTTATATTTTTTTATACTTTTATTTTACATATTTTTTTATTGATATTTTTACTCTATATTTTTACTTTATATTTTTAATTTATTTATTTATATATATATATTTCTTTTTATATTATTTTTTTATTTTTAATTTACATATTTTTATATTATTTTACATATTATTTTACATATTATTTATAAATAGAAAATAATAAACAAAAATGTAGCAATTTTAGTGACTATATTCCTTGCTAAATTAGGTAGAAAATTTTTTTCACTCATAAAATGAAAATTAAAAATTTAATTAAAATTTTTAATTTAGTTTTTTTTTTATAAAATAGTAAAAATATGTATTTTTTTTATAATTACATTCTCAAGTCTTGAGGTCTGTATTATACATTAATTAATACAGTTGATATGTGAGCAGCATTTCATAATATGGACAAGATTATATCATGTCCATTTTTAAAGATCACTCTAATAGTCGCATAAATATGCTATCATTGTGATATATACTTGTCATATTTTCAATGTTAAATTTCTTCGAAATTATAAGAATTATGACTCATCAATTTACAACTTTATAATAGTATTTTTAAATCTTTAGCGCGTCCGTTAATTTTTAATTTTTATTATGCTAATTTTTATATACTATTATTACTTATTTATTCCATGCATAGCTAACATTTTTTTGTTGCATTTTTTTACTCTGACAATTGATTACAAAAAAAAAAAAATGAAACAGAGGTTACAATAATAAAAAAATTAAATATATGTGATAATTTCTATATTTATTTTTGTTTATTTATTTTTATTTGCTATTTATTTGTTATTTATTTTTAATTATTTATTACTTATTATATTTGTAAGTAGCTATTCAATTTATTTATTTAGTCAATATATCCGGGTTTACAAAAATCCAAAAATAATTTATTATAATTATTGTTTATAGTTATTAATAATTATTACTTTTGGATTCATTGCCACTATTTTAAAAAACAATTTATTATCTAGTTTATTATATTAAATATCGTTTTTTATTATTTTTTATTCATTATTCATACTTTTTATTATTTATTATTTTAATAAATAATAAAATTTGTTTAAAATGGGCTGAAGCCTAATATTGCTCTATGTTTCATTTAAATAAAATAAATAATAAGCAACAAATTTATTTTAATTTTTTACTTATTGAAAATGTTTTTTTTCCAATAATACGTAAATGTATGAATGCTTATCAACTTTTGAAAATTTTATATTTTTTCCTCAATATTATGAAAGTTATTTTCATTTTTTTCGGAATATAAAGATAAAGTTGTATACTTACAAGTTCTAGAAATTTGATTATCGATAGCCTCGAAACAGACACCATTTTGAATGTGATCTGAAACAAAAATTGAAAATACAGATTAAATTAAAAATGCCAATTTCAATTAAAAAATATTTTATTGAAAATATTAGACAGAGTATTTAGTTGAAATTTTTAATTAAAAAATATTTAATTGAAAATACTAAAAAAAAATTGAATTGAAAATATTCAACAAAATATTGAATTGAAAATTAAAAAAAAATATTGCATTAAAAGTAATAAAAAAAACAATTGAATTGAAAATAATAAAAAAAAAAATGAATTGAAAATATTAAAAAATGATAATGAAAAAATTCACTGTTATTATCAATGTTTCAGCAGTTTTTCATTAAGAGAATGAAAGTAAGAAACAATCAGAAATTATGAAAGCATGTTTTCATTAAAAATTAAAATTATCTTCCCCGCAAGTAAAATGCTTTCAAGAATCCTGCACAGGAAGTAATAACTCTTTATTACAAGGGTATGAAAGAAAAAAATTTAATGAAGCACAAAGTCGTAAATTGCAATTATACTCGTATTTTAAAATTTTACCCTAAATTCGAATTCACCTGATAAAATGAATATTAATTCGTATATTTAATTATTTCAATATTTTAAATAATTATCTAAACACGAAAAAAATTCTATTACTCGATTTTTTTTATTTACAAAACGTAATATTCCTTCCCTTTTTCATTTTATTTAATATTATACAAAATTTAATATTCATTCTTCGTTAATTTAATTTTTTATTTCTATTTTCTAGAAACAAAATCTTCTTTAGAATCTTTAAATTTGATTCTTTTTATCTTTCTGTTCTATATATTTGATCTTTTTTATTTTTAATAAAAAAAGAATATTGAATTAAATAATATTCTTTTTCATTTTTATACTTAATTTTGTATTTAATATAAAAATTTAAATATTTCTATTCTTTTTTAAATCTTAATTGAATCTAATATTCTCAGATAGTAGTCCAAGATTTACTCCTAAAATAATAAAAAAAAACTTTTTTCACTGTCATTAAGCGAAAAAAAAGTTTTGAAGAAATAAATGAATGAAGTAACTTGATGAATAAAAAGTTATTAATTTACGTTTGAATAATTTATTAAAAATAAAAATCTAGCGTCACAGTTAAGTCTTATAGGATAAAAATTCCAAAGAATACGTGAATAATTACGATCATGATAAGAAACTAAGAAAATTATGTCAGTAGATTCGTATATTGCCTTTATTTTTAACGAAATGACGAATCGCATGCACGATGAAATTTATGAATAAATTATTCTAGTTGCCTTTTTTTCCCCTTGTTAATTTAATCAAAGAAAGGTTTTGACCTTTCATGACGATCGTGAGATTTTTAACTTTTTTTTTAACTTACACAATTTTTTAAAAAAAGAAAGAAAATCGATTCTATAGTATGACTGAGTTTAATTTAATGGAATAAACAGATGTTTTGCGTGAGATCAGCATCGTTTGAAGGTAAACCTAATTTTATATTTAGTTCTTGGTTTTGTTTTCAATTATTTTTTCTCGCATGGAGAAAAAACTGGATAAATTTTAGACTAACTTTTCTATTCTCTTTGTATTTTTTCCTTGTTTTTTCTTTTCCTTTTTTCTTTTATTCTTTCTCCCTTTCTTTCTATTTCTCTTTTTTCTTTTTCTATTTTCCTTTTTCTTCTTTTTCCCTATTTTTCTATTTCTCTTTTTTCTTTTTCCCTAAATTTTCCTATTTCTCTTTTTCCCTTTCTTTCTATTTCCCTTTTTTCTTTTTCTTTTTTCCTATTTTTCTCTTTCTTCTTTTTCCCTTTTTTCTTTCGAACTTTCTTTCTATTTTCCTTTTTTCCTTTTTCCCTAAATTTTTCTATTTCTCTTTTTCCCTTTCTTTCTATTTCTCTTTTTTATTTTTTTCTTTTTCCCTTTCTTTCTATTTCCCTTTTTTCTTTTTCTATTTTTTTTTTTTTTTTTTTTTGACCTTTTTTCTTTCCAACTTTCTATTTATTTTGTCACATAAAAAATTATTTTTAAATAATTTACGCATTTAACATTTTTGGAAAATTCCAATTCTAATTCTAAAATGAACAAAAATTTACTTTTAAATATAAATTTATGTAAAAATTAAAAAAGGGTGACTAATTTTTAAGAGACAGTAAATAATAGATGTAAAATACTGTAGCAGTGATGTGGTGTATAAATGATGCTGTAATTGAACAATGTGCATCATATATTGTTATTATTACTGTATCAATGTGTAAACGCAACGAGAAATTGAAGGCTGGATCAATTTAATGTTGCTATTTGACTAAAATAAGTGATCAATGTTATTTTCACTCCCAATGAGTCAGAGAAACGAGCTTACAAAGTGCAGGTTTAGTTTTGACCCAGATTTCTTTTTATTTGTCATGCCATCTTCTTCCGATCTCAATAGCGCCTAACTTTAAAAGACAGAACATCAACACACAGGTCTAATTGGAAATAAATACTCTGCGAATTGACCATTACAAAAACGATTCCTTGCCACTTGACAAAAGAGGAGCAAAGTGAAGCCAAGTGAATTTAAAATTATAAATAAAATTAGTTGATAATAAAATAAATAAATTATAAAATAAAAAAATGAAACAAGTAATAACGTAAATAATAAAACAAAAAATAAAATAATAAACAAAATAATAAATAATAAAATAAATAATAAAATTATAAATAAAATTAGTTAATAATAAAATAAAAAATGAAACAAGTAATAACATATGTAAATAATAAAATAAATGAGTAATAAAGAATAAAATGAAGAAATAAAATAAGTCAAAATCGTTTATGTTATTCTCTAAATTAGAATTAGTTTAAAAATGTTTATTAATTTTAATTATTCACTGACTTTTTGCTTCTGAATTGGTCAATTTTACTAATAAATAATAATTTCAACTTAATTTAAATTAGCAAACATTTTTAAACTAATTTAAAATTTATAGAAAGTTGTCGTTGATCAAATTTATGTTAATATAAAATAAATAAAAAATAACAAAAATAAATAAATAGAAAATAATATAATAAATAAAAAATAAATAATAAATTTAGTTATTAATTACTATAAGCATATTTAATTAAGTTTCAAAAATAATATAATTATAATATGGCTTACTGATTACCAAAAAAAAAAATTTTTTTTTTTGAAAATGTCTACATATAAAATGTATAATTTACTTGGTTATTAGTATTACCAAAATTATTTATTTAAGTATAAATATATTATGTAGGAGTTGATTAAATATGCCTACATGTCATTCACATATTATGATATATATTTAGTGCGGGTTGGAGGGGAGAAGACAATAAGTATCATGCTCAATAATTGAAATTTTGTTTTCAGACAATAAAAAAAATATCAAAGTGGTCTAAATTACCTGAAATATGCAAATAACCTCATAATTACCAATATAACCACTATATACATAATGGAAAAATAATTATTGATGGAGATTGGAGAGAAATATTCCTGTACTTAACAAAAAAAATGTAATTGCTTAAGCAATAATATTTTAATAAATAATTTCAAATAAGTGAATAAATTAATTAACCAATATTAATAAAAAAGTATAAATTAATTGTAGAAATATAATTAAAAAAATAAAGGAACAATAATAATAATAAAGTACATACATGTTTCGGTAATCTGTTCGCAGTTTGAGGTTAGTTGTTTGCTTTTTGTTTCTTAACTTTTTTATATAATTTTTCTTTTCAAATATTTTCAATTTTAAAATTAATATATTGAAAATCATCGAATTGTTGCAAAGAATTTTATCAAAAAATTTGATGACAATAGAATTCCTTCAAAGAATTTTATTATTTAGGAAAATAACTGAATTCTCGCAAAGAATTTTTGTATTAAAATTTTTAAAAATCAAAATTTTTTTTTCAAATTCTTTTAAAGAATTTCTTTGAATTTTTTTTAAACTAATGGAGTTTCTTTAATAATTTTAATTGAAAATTTGGAAAGCAATTGAATTTTATGAAGAAGAATTTTATTAAAATTGTATTGAAAATAATAAATTGAATTCTTGAGAAGAATTTTACTATTTATAAAAATAATTGAAATTTTTCGAAGAATATATTTATTAAAATTTTAAGAAATAACTAAATTGTTATGAAGAATTTTATAGAAATATTTAAAAATAATGAAATTTTTTCGACAAATTCAATTAAAGTTGTTTCGAAAATAATTGAATTTCTTTAAAGAATTTTATTAAAATTTACTATATTAAAAATAATTGAATTCTTTCAATTTTTTTGACGAATATATTTAAAAATTGCATTGAAAGGTAATTTAATTTTTATATATAATTTTTTAAAAATATTTTGAGAATAATTGAATTATTTTTAGACAATTTTAAATTCTTGTTGAAATTGAATTTTATGGAAATTTTTGAAAATAATTAAATTCTTTTGTGTAATTTTATTTAAATTGGATTAAAAATTATTTAATTGCTGCAAAGAATTTTTGTATTTATAAAAATAATTGAATTGTTTTGAAGAATTTTACTATTTACAAAAATAATTCAATTTTTTCGAAGTTAAAATTTTTTTTAAAAATTGAATTCTTCCGGGGAATTTAATTAAAATTGTTTTGAAAATAATTGAATTTTTGTAAATATTTTACTTTTTAAAAAAATAATTGAATTGTTTAGAAGGATTTATTAAAATTTTAGAAAATAATTGAATTCTTTCGTGAAATTTTATTAAAATTTTTGAAAATAAGAACAGTAATAATTATATTTGTACTTAATATGTGAATTTTTTAAATTTTGATTATGAAATTATTTAAAAAATTTATATTTGAAAATAAAATATTTTGTAATTTGCATAACAATGATTAATTGAATATCTCATTCCGTAACATTTGCTATAGTAATAATAATCATAAGAAAAATAAAAATAATAAAAATGAATAATAATTATTAATGAAAAAATAATAAGACAGTTAATAATTAGATATATTAAAAATTTCTTCAAATTTTAGGAAAGTAATGAAAAGAATAAAATAATAATAATTATAATAATAATAAAATTCACATTTAAATTGTAGGAAAATAGTTAAAGAAATAAAAAAAAATAATTATTATAATAAGAAAAAGAAGAGAAGGAGGAAAAAGAAGAAAAAGAAAATTAACAAAAGTTAATAATTATTATTATTAAAAAGTTATTATTATAAAAATAATAAGACAGTTAATAATAATAAACTTATGAACTAGACTTAATTAAATTGACTTACATAATTGATTGTAAAAATAATGTGAAGTATCAGGTATACACTGTCGTGTAATTCGAGAAGTTGGGTCAGTGGGACGGATAAAATAATTGGCCATGGGATACCAAACATAGAAAAAGTCTACATTCATGTACAAATGCTACAAATTCCCAGATGTTGAATGCATCCATTTGACAATATTTTTAAATTGTCTTTCATTGATGTTTAATTGTTGTTGTTACTTTTACTGTCTACACACAAGGAACCAATACACAATAGTGTGAGGGATTGATATATTACGTTTGTATAGTAAAAGTACACGTGTTACTCTGTAACTGTGAATGATTCATTCACAGCAAAAGTATATTAATAGCAAAAACAGTATTACTTTTAGTATTTAGAAGAAAATTTATTTTCATTTCGAAAAATCTTATTATGATTTTTCAGAACGAAAATAAGTTTTTGAAAAACCATTTGGTTTTTTCAAAACGAAAATAATTCTTGAAAAAAACCTTATGGTTTTTCAAAATGAAAATAATTTTTGAAAAACCACAAGGTTTTTTCAAAACGAAAATAATTATTGAAAAACCATTTGGTTTTTTCAAAACGAAAATAATTTTTAAAAAAAATTATTGTTTTTCAAAATCAAAATACTTTTTGAAAAACCACAAGGTTTTTTCGAAACGAAAATAATTTTTGAAAAACCATTTGGTTTTTTCAAAACAAAAATAAATTTTAACAGAAAATAAAAAATTTTTGGAATATTTTAGACTGCTTTTTTTCTCTATATAATAATCAAGGCTATATAAATGTCCGAATGAAAAATCACAAACATCTTTTTAATATCAATTCGTTGTTAAAAACCTTGGGATTTAATTTGTTCTCCTTTCAAGGAGCAATAACTACCGGAACTATTACTATTTTTAAATATGTGATAATACAACACACCTATTTTATCCGATTGAGGGAATAATGATTTTTTGTCACGAAATTTTTAATCGAGAATGTTGAGAATGTTTAGAGAATTTCAATTCAGTGAATTCTAATTATAACAGTTTCTATAAAATTTTTTTTATTAAATGTACACTTAGAAAAAAGTTATTTTATTAATTCAAAGAAATCAGTTTCTCAGACTCTATTTTTTTTGTTCAAAATAAAAATTTTTCTTTTATAGAAAAAGAGATTTTTTGAATCAAAGAAAATTTCTTTGATTTAAACAAATTTTCTCTGATTTCAAAAACGATATTAAAACGAAAAACTAATTCTTTAATTTGGAAAGAAAAATTTATTGAAAACTTGTAAATTGCTTTTGAATCAAAGAAATTTTCTTTGAATTCAAGAAATTCGTTCTTTGAATTAAAAAAATTTTATCGTTGACATAGAGTAAAAGAACTAAGAAGTTAATTGTTTTTGAATTAAAGAAATTATTTTTGATTCAAAAAAAATTTTCTTTGAAACAAGTGATTGGTTTTTTAATTATAGAAATTATTTTTGATTCAAGGAAATTGTTTTTTAATGCAAAGAAATTATTTTTGATCCAAAGAAATTTTCAATGAAACAAGTGGATTGTTTTTGAATCAAAGAAATTATTTTTGAATCAGAGAAATTATTTTTGATTCGAAGAAATTTACAATGAAACAAGTGGATTGCTTTTGAATCAAAGAAATTATTTTTGAATCAAAGAAATTATTTTTGACTCAAAAGAAATTTTCTTTGACTCAAAGAAATTTTTTCTGAATCATAAAAAAATTTATGCTCGACCAAAGCAATAAGTCGGAGAAAATTAATTTTTTAAATTACCAAAATCTTTTTCCTTCATGTACAATTTTATTCCGCGTGACATATTTATTTTCAATTAAAAAATACATCTTTTGTATATGGAAATTATTATTATTATAATTTATTGAGGAAATAAGTTCGATTATTAAAAAAAAATATAATTTATTGTCAACAATTTCTGCGGATATAAAAATTTTAATTGATTTCAAAATTTTATTCGATATTTTTTATTTTCAAATTTTATCGATACAATAATAAATTCAAATTTATGATAATTGTTGGAATGCATTCGTAATATTCGATTTTTAAAAATAAATTATGTCTTTACTATATTCTTTTGAATTGAAATATCCCATAAAATAAAAAAAAAAGTTAAAAATATGCTAAAAAAGTGAATTTTTCTTCTAGAAAGAATCCAAGATCTCGAAAACTGATAAATTAGGGGAAAACTTGAGAAAACGACGCTTGAAATTGAGAATTGACGCGTCCTATTTTTCTACGCCTTACATGTGTATATGTCTACGCCCTGTTTTCTTTATAGATATTTTCCTCTTTGTCATAGAAAATTTATAAAATACACTCAAAATTAAAATAACTTGAAGAAAAATTATTTAAAACTTTGAAAATTTTAATTCATATCACTAGATTTTACGGAGAAAAGTAAAATATACCGGTTCGATGATAAAAACAGTTTTGTTTACATGTTTTCTAAATGTGAATTTCAAGTCTAAGAAAAGAATAAAAAAAAAATTAAATAATAAAAATCCGAAATTTCAACAGCACTTATTTATTTATTTTCGATAATAAGTTAATTATTTGTGATATTGTGATAATAATTGTGAACTTACTTGTTTGAATTTTTGAATGAATGCGTAAATGCGACCTGCGCTGATAGCACTGCGTTCAACACAAAAGCACGATGGCAACTGGAAGACTACGGCGTCCCCACTTTCATTGCTGAATCTGTTTCCATTCCTACACATAAAAGATGTTTTTACGAGGGACATAAAAATACAACTTGATTATAATAAGTCATATTATATACACAATACCTATGCTCGTCAAACTAAACTATTGTCTAAAGAGGACAATTAACGATCGATTCAAAATAATAATTAATGATAAAAAATAAAGATTATTCTGATGGATTTTTGAATTGGAAAAAAAAATTCTTGCATTTTCTGGTCCATTCATTTTCCTTTCACATTTTGAAGAATGTGGGGGATATCTTATAGTTCTTACGCCAATGTCTCGATAGAAACTATCAGTTGTACTATTCTATTGTTGGAAATTACCATTCAACTTTGTGTATATTAGGATACATACTTAGTGAATTGAAATTATTTTGAATTTTAACTAATTGTGATTTTAAGCAATAGAAAAAAAAAATTAAAAAACAACATAAATTTACTAAAAATTAATAGGAGGTTTCCCACTCATCTACTAAAACCTACTATACGGAGAAAAATATAAAGTAACTTTTACTATACTTCTGTAGTAAAAAAATTTCCGGTAAAACATTTCTGGTAATTTTTACTACTTTTGGAGTAAATTTTGCTACGTTCGAAATAAATTTTACTAATTTTTACAAATATTTACTTCGAACGTAGCAAAATTTACTCCAAAAGTAGTAAAAATTACCAGAAATGCTTTACCGGAAATTTTTCACTATAAAAATAGTAAAAGTTACTTTATATTTTTCTCCGTGCATTTACTACTTTTTTCTTACGATTAGCTACTGTTTGGATACTTTTTTTTAAATTTGTAACACTAAAAACTACTTTTTCCTATATTTGAAAATTTTCACAAATTTAAATTCGCTAATAGTTGGAATAAAGAAATTATTTTTGAAAATATTAATAAAATTTAATAAAATTGTTTCTTAGAAACAATTAAAAATTTTTTTTTTATAAAATTCTTTAAAACAATTCAATTTTTTAAAAAATATTTTGCGAGAATTCAGTTATTTTCACAAATAATGAAATTAAAATATTTTTAATATCTATTATTTTATGTATTATTTATTTAGATATACAAATTTATACCTATATTTTAATACAATTTCTCAAAAAAAATTCAATTATTTATAAAAAATTTAATAAAATTAAAATAATATGAATAATAAAATTTTTACAGTACATATACCTAATTCAATTATGTGAAATAAATTTAAGGAATTTTTTTTGGAAAGAAATCAATTAATTAAATATTTTAAAACGAAATTATTTAAAAAGAAATTAATTATTTTCTAAAAATTTGTTTATAGAAATTAAATCCTGCGTAGCATGCAGTTAATCCGTTCCAGGCTCTCAATTATTTTCATAAATAATAAAATTCATCGCAAGAACTCGATTATTTTTAATACAATTTTAATAAAATTTCTCGACAGAATTCAATTATTTTCAGTAAATTTTAATAAAACCTATGTACGATTACGAATTGAATTATTTTCAATGCAATTTTAATTTAATTCGTCGAAAAAATTTGCAAGAATTCATTTTTTTTTAATTTTAATAAATTCTTCTTAGAAATTCAATTGTTTTTATAAATAATAAAATTCTTTAGATGAATTCAATTATTTTAAATATAATTTTAATAAAATTCTTCGAAAGAATTTATTTATTTATTTATTTATTTAAATAATACAGGCTAGAACTCAATTATTTTTAATACAATTTTAATTCAATTCTTTGAAATTTTTTAAGTATTTTCGAAAATTTTCGAAGTAATTCAATTGTGTGAAATACAATTTTCAAGAAATTTTTTCGAAAGAAATCAATTTTTAAATATTTTAATGAAATTCTTTTGTAAAAAATTAATTATTTTCTTAATTTTTGACAACATTTGTTTAGAATATAGTTAAATTATTATTTTCAGAAATAATAAAATTCATCGCAAAAATTCAATTATTTTTAATACAATTTTAATTAAGTTATTCGAAATATTTGAATTATTCTTTTAAATTTTTATAAAATGAAAAAAAGAATTCAATTATTTTTACAAATTATAAAATTTTTCCCAGGAATTCAATTATTTAAAAAAATTTTATAAAATTCGTTACAAGAATTCAATTATTTTGATAAATAATAAAATTCGTTGTAGGAATTCAATTATTATTTATAAATAAATAAAAATAGTAGCTACTTTTTTATTACTTTTTTTCAGTCTTAATGCTACTTAATTATTTATGTCTTTTGAACAAATGTAAAATACCAATTTTTTCTTTTTGACTTGGGCATTAAATAAGGAACAATATTCAATTTTGAAAAATAAAATAACAGATCGAGAAATTGCATTTATTTTCATTTGTTTAAATAAATTGTTTATAATTTTATCAAATTACGTTAAATTTGAAAATGAAAAATGTCATTCAAAAATCGTGTTATTTTTATATAATCATACCAAAAATCATTAAATATTACCATTACTTTATTAGAAAAAATATCTTTTCTAAATTCATGCAAAAAAGTTTATTTAACAATAACTTAGAACAAAAAAATCGAATTTTGCAAAACTGTTCAACTTGTGTTTTTTATTTATTATTTCAAACAGAAAAACATAAATTGCATTGAAAAAATCTTGACTAACCGAAAATTAGTTGCCCACTTTACGAATTTTGACCCAGAAACTTCTTAGAGAGCAAAATTTTGAAGTTCTGAATTTAAATTAATTAAAGTTTTTATTATTAATTAGAGACTAAGTTTTTGTTTCTGAATTAGTTGAGTTCTATAAATAATAGTAAAAAAAAGTAAAAGCTGCAAAAAAAGAAGTTTTTACTAAAATTCACTATAGTTAATTTTGTTAAATTCAAAAGCAAAAATTCCGTCACTTATTTAAGTTAATTTTAATTATTCCTATTAATTAGGATTACTAATCGAAATTTAAAGAGTAGTGAATCAGGAAAATTACACAGTTCTTCGCAGTGAAAATGACTGATTCATCAAATACAGAGAAAACTCGTAAACAGATTCAGATTTAGAGGGTATGATTGTATATTTTTCTTTTTTATTTCGTAGATTAAGAAAAACATAAAAATAGTAACAAATAATTTTTTTTTTTTTTTTTTTTTTTTTTTTTTTTTTTATAATATTAGTTTATGGTGATACCACATTTCCTGATTTGACAAAAAAATGTTTCTTTCTTATTTCTACGCTGCTGAAAATAGCATACAACTATACACATATGGGTATTATATTTTTATACTACCTATAATATAGAGTTTATTGTTCCTTTGAATGTATATATATATATATATATATAGATAGTTGCAGCAATGAATGAACTGCATAGAATACCCCCTGCAACAGGCAGCTGGTAAAAATAAGTTTCACCTTTTTTTCCCCGAAATTGTAATATTATCTCTAAAACTAATTTTCATTTCGAAAAATTTAGAATTAACTATAATAATTTGAATGTTCTTTCATTCATTCAATTTTTCTGCCCCTCACACTCTGAAGTTGTCTTTTGTTTATATTTTTGTTTTTTTATCTTTAGATAGATTATGTATATTATATTATTACTATTAGCAAATGTTACGCGCGGAACGTGATATTCAATTTATTATTGTTATGCAAATTACAAAATTTTTTATTTTCAAATAAAAATTTTTTTAAATAATTTCATAATCAAAATTTTAAAAAATTCACTTATTAAGTACACAATTAATTATTATTATTATTATTGTTCATATTTTCTAAACTTTTAATAAATCCTTCGAAAAAATTTAATTATTTTTATAAATAGTAAAATTCTTCGCAAGAATTCAATTAATTTAATAAATATAGTAAAATTCTTTGCAGGAATTCAATTATTTTAAAAACAATTTTAATTGAATTCCTCGGATGAATTCAAATATTTTTAAATATTTCCATAAATTTCAATTATTTCTTTATTTTAAAAAACTCTTCAAAACAATTCAATTATTTTTATAAATACAAAAATTTTTTGCAGAAATTAAATTATTTTTAATCAAATTTAAATAAAATTACAATAAAGAATTTAATTATTTTTAAAAATTTCCATAAAATGCAATTTTAGCAAGAATTTAAAATTCTCTAAAAATAATTCAATTATTCTCAAAATATTTTTAAAAAATTCTATATTATATCAAAATTAAATTACTTTCAATGCAATTTTTAAATATATTCGTCAAAAAAATTGATAGAATTCAATTATTTTCAAAAAATAATAAAATTCTTGTGATGAATTCAATTATTTTGAATATAGTTAATTTTAAAATAATTCTTTATAGAAATTCCATTATTTTCAAAACAACAATTTAATTGAATTTCTCGAAAAAATTTCATTATTTTCAAATATTTCTATAAAATTCTTTATAACAATTTAATTATTTCTGAAAATTTTAATAAATTCTTTGAAACATTTTAATTATTTTTATAAATAGTAAAATTCTTCGTAAGAATTCAATTATTTTAAATTTACTTTTAATAAAATTCTTCTTCATAAAATTCAATTGCTTTCAAAATTTTCAATTAAAATTATTAACGAAACTCCATTAGTTTTAAAAAAAAATTCAAAGAAATTCTTCAAAAGAATTTAATCAGGATTTTTAAAAATTTTAATAAAATTCTTTGCCAGAATTCAGTTATTTTCCTAAATAATAAAATTCTTTGAAGGAATTCTATTTATCATCAAATTTTTTTGATAAAATTCTTTGCAACAATTCGATGATTTTCAATATATTAATTTTAAAATTGAAAATATTTGAGAAAAAAAATTTAAAAAAAGTTAAGAAACAAAAAGCAAACAACTAACTTCAAACTGCGAACAGATTACCGAAACATGTACTTTATTAGTATTAATTAATAATTAATTAATGTTATAATTATTTTTATTTTATAATTAATTCAAAATTGTAATGACAAATAGAAATCATCAGAATTTTTTTCACTTTCTTTTCATTAAAAGACTAAAATTTTGTTAAATATTATGTTTTGTTAAATTGAAATTATGCA